TCTACCAGGTTCCTCTTCAAGGAGCTGGGAAACCCCCACAGAACAGGCAAGGAAGAATCATAGGAACCAGAGGGATTGAGGACACCAGGAGAACACAGTCCATGGAATCAATTATGCAGGACTCCTATGGGTTCACAGAGACTGAAGCGGTAGTCAGGGAGCCTGCCTGTGTCTACACTAGGTCCTCTCTGTACGTGTTATGGTTGTCTAACCTGCTGTCTTGTGGGACTCCAAGTCGTGAGACTGGAGGGTGACTGACTCTTTAGCCTGTACTGGGGACCCTTTTCCTCCTACTAGGTTGCCTTGTCCAACCTTTATATGAGGGTTTGTGCCTGGTCTTACTGTATCTTGTGCTGTGCTGGGTTGATATCCCTGGGAGACCTGTTCTTTTCTGAAGGGAAATGGAGAAGCAGTGGAATGAGGAACAGAGGAGGTGGGGGGAGTCGGAAGGAGTGGAGGGAGGGGAGAATACCGTCAGGATGTACGGTATGAGAGAAGAATAGATAAAACAACAATAATAAAACAAAAGCAGAGCAGCCATTCTTCTCAAGTATGAATTCTCAGAGTATAAACTAAGCGCCCAGTTTCCTGGAAAACCAAGAGGCTTCAGATAGGAAAAACACACTGGACAGCTTCCTATACTTATACAGAATGACCACTTTTTATTAGTAAATCAATAGAAAATGATTTAGTATTTTCAAGTACTAGATATTTTGAAATAGATAAAGAATACTTAACCATCTAGTGCCAACTTAACCTTCTCTCCTGAAAGCACAGAACACACCACAAAGCAAAATACAACATACATACATATTTAAATAAATAAATACCCTAACCATGGTGGAAAATTTTTAAGATTCTGTTATGTAACTGCCTCTGTCGTTGGTGAAACTGTCTAGAATAGTTGAGGAAACGTTAGTCTACCTTTGCTAAATAGATCAGTCATCATTACAGCCATTGCCAGAATATAGCATCTAGCTTCCAAGCCATTGGTCTATTATGAATCCAGTCGTGACAACTTGACTTTATTCCATAATCCAGCCACATCAGATTAGCTAAAAACAGCTAGCCAAGTCTGAGCTACTCTCTCGAGTAGCAGGTTAGTTGGTAGACAGGTTGCTTGATTTTACAGCATAGAGGACTTGACCTAGGCCTTCTGATACTAAGCATCTGTCACTGTGTACTGTTATAGGGTCTCTGTATCATCTCTCTATCTTTACTTTTCCTTTACAGTTTATATATCCCAGGAAATCTTTTAAGAAATATAAAACTGATGTGGCTACATTCTCTTTTCCAAGTGAACGATTATAATGAATACAGGTGAACGGGTGAAAAGCAGCAAGCTTCCCATCTCCCTGACTTGATTGAACATTCTACGTATTGCAGGTGAAAAACGATTATCCCCAAGAACTCACATACATTCGTGCCCAAGCAATTTATTATTGATGAACGAAGTCTAAGCAAGCAAAGCATTTTTCTCAGCCATTTCTTTTACTGGCAAGCTGCGTTTTGTCGTTATAAAGAAAGGATCTGTCACTTTATTATTTATCTCAAAAGGTAATCTTATTTAAAAATCTAAACTTTCATATATGATAAACAATAAGCTCCACTTTAAATCCTCAGTGTACGTAGACACTCATCAACAGTTTTTTCTCAAATTAACGTTTTAATTTTTTTTAAAATGGATTTTATATCACTCTTTACTTTTTCTGAGCAAGGAGTCAAGAAGTTGCCATGAATGCACTTGAAGTCATTCTATAGCCCAGGCAGACTTTGAACTTCTAATTCATATACTAGAATGTTTTAAGTAGATCCCCAGGATCAACTATTGTATTCTTATATAAAATCATAAAAATGGAAATAACCCATTTTATTTATGTTTAATTAACATATAATAGCTATGTACAATAGTGTTTCCTCATGAGATTTTCGTACAATGTATGTAATATATTTTCCAGTCCTCTTGCTTCCGCTGGCCCTTCCCCCTTTCTTATTAGTCATCCTATTTCATGCCTTTTTAACTTTTTTTGATAATCTAATGAATTTTATTAGGAGTGCTTATAGGAGCATGGAGAGGAGATTATTTACAGGAGTAAGGGCAACTTACCAGTGACTAATAACTCTGTTTTGTTGGCATGAAAAAGGGAAATTATTAATGTGTAGAAAATTTGTAATTCTTTTCTGTGGACTAAGTTTTCTTATTTCAAGGTTCATATGTGGAAATCCAGCCCTTCAGTGTGTCTATATATGGACGTAGGGCTGACAAGATCGTACCAGGTCGTGATCGAGTCCCCAATCTCAGAAAACTAGTGTGCGTATAAGAACATCTAGTACATAAGAATCAGGTCTTACATCATGATGGATGCTCAGACGAAGCATCTTCTGCAGACCAAGAAGAAAGCACTCATCGGAAGTCTAACTGGCCTGCACCTTAACTGTATCTTTCTAACCTGGAAACAGTGAGAGCTCAATCTAGCGGTGAGAAGCTGTAGGAAGCCTGCAGATCTGCCTCAGTAGCCAGGGATGGAAACTTGCCCTGGAGTTCCCTACCCAGGCAAAGGCAGCGACTTCTGGAACTGACTGTTAACTTCTAGCAATTTTTGGTTATTCTGTTTTCTCTGCTTACTCCTATGCCCAGCGTTTGCGACACTGACTGTCGCTATTTTTGCCTTATTTACATACCGACTTCAGCCAATCGGGGTGTCCATACCGCTTGCAGCTTCTGCCCTGGGCTGGGAGCTCAACCCAGACAGACACCTGGACCCCACTCGCAGCTGCAGAAAGACGAAATTCTTCCTGTCTCAGTTAACAAAAATGCTCCTTGAAGATCGGAAACCATGCTGCAGGAGGGAGATTGTCCCCACAGCTGCATCTAGCCTCTAAGACCCATCGCTTCTGAGAGTGGAAGCCCGATTTTTCTGCTAATGTCCGAAAATTTCTTGTGCAAGGGACCACTTTTAGTCTGAGTGCTCCCAAGCCCTCAGTGCTTTTGAGTTGTAACGCTTCTCAGAGCTACAGCAGCTCTTGGCTAGCAAGCTGCTGCTGCCACAACTTCAAACCTGTCTCATTAAAGTCCCAAGTGGCTGTCAGTTTCGAGGTGTTTCATTCTGCTTAGAAGTTGTTGATACTAAACTAACAATAAAGCAATCCCCTATTTGTACTCCTTGCTTTCTGCCCAATCCATTCTTGGAGGAAGTGGTACAGAATCCTGATGGGGACATACAATCGTTGTGAAGTTAATCCATCACCTCAGCAGGAGTAGAAACTGAGTCACACTAACACTCACATCGCCAGTGTGAACTGAAAGAGACAGGGATGGTTCAGTGGGAACTGTGGGATACGTCCCACGTTTTGTAGAGTCACGGGATTTGGGAGCAACTCTGGAGACTTGGAGGCAAGGCTTCCACTCTAGAGGTTCCAGAATGTGGTGAATCAACAACCATAGAGGATAATTTTCACAATTAAGATTTAATGGATCTGGGATGTAAAACTGGCTCGATGGATAAAGCTAGCCTAGCAACCTGAACTCAATCCCTGGAATCCACGTGGTAGAAGGAGAAGAACCAACTCCCCAAATCTCTGTCTTTGTTTCTGCTTCTCTCACACATACACACACTCTTACACACTTGAACATATATACATGCACATGCAAATTGATAAATGAATAAATACTTTAAAACAATTTAATGAACCTGAATCTAGAGCACTTGGCATGCTGGGGTTTTTTTTTTTTCCTTGACTGGTGTCTATTGTTCCCTTCTTTCATTTATGTTCTTTGGATGAAATATTTCTTCCTCTGCTGGGCCTTTTACTGTATTTGGGGCATATATAGCTTGCATTTGGCACAGGTTTGTAGCTGGTTAGAAATTTGTTGTAGAAATAAATCACACTTCGAATTCTGAGCCACATATGACTAAGATAACATTTAGATAAAACTTTGGATGTCAGACTCTAAAACTAGTGCTAGACAGAGGTAAGACCTCTGGGTCACAGAGTTTTAATGAATACATTTCAAATTTAAGAGGAACACAAATGCAGGAGATGCCAAAAAGATAAAGCTGTGCATTGAATTCTACTTGGAAATAATATCTCTAAGGACTGAAGTAAAGTTAGACTCAGTGTCATGAGGGTGGGTCCTTATTCGAAGAAATGCTGAGGGCTTTTCCCTTTTCCACTGTCCCCAATAGTGAGAAGGCACAGCCTGCAAGAGAAGAGAGATCTAATAGAAATCATATCAGCTACCTCCATCCTGGACGCCCCACCTCAGGCACTGGAAGGAAGACCACCCAGTGTCTAAGCCTGTCAGCCTGGTCACAGCAGTCCACACTGACTTCTTAGGCACTCCCATTTGTATTGACAGCACCAAAGGAGAGTGTCTAACCTCTTTATCATGTTTTTGGCATATTATCATCCAACTCACAATAGAAATGTTTAAAACACATCCTATTTATTTTCTGAAGCCCTGGTTAGAATGCAAACACCAGAGGGCAGGGATGTTTTTGTTTTTCTGTTTTATTCTCTACTATGTCTCCAATGAATAAGGAAACAAGGTTTTATTTTCTTGTTTTTAAACAGTCTCCATTAAAATTGAACCCAGCCTCAGAACCCAGGAAGGACAAAAGCACATAGCAAAGAACCCAAGCAGAGAATAAAAAGACAGACACCAATTAAAATTAGAACAACAACAACAAAAAAAAAATCGGAAGCCTGGCACAACAATGTTATGCAATTACAGTACTAGCAAAAAAAAAAAAAAAAACTAAAACCAAGGGAAGAAACAACAACATAAAAAAAACATGCCCCTTTCAGTGATACATAAATCAAAGACGCTGACATTTGTAGACCCAGGCTGAAACTTTGTAAGAACAAATTGCTAGGAATAAGGAACACTTCCAAGAATTTCCAACACATACTATTCTGTGGTCAGAGCAAAACAGCAATACGTACGATTTGCTTTGCAGGGGAGTACTCTGAAATGATAGACACAAACCCACAAAAAATTGTACTTATCATATTGCAATTTATTTCCACGTAAATTGGTTGCTACATGCTGAGTTAGTACAAATAATTATAAAAAACAATAATTAAGTGCATGGAAAAATATAAAAATAAGTGCAGCATATTGGACTACATGATTCTTAACTACGCCTTTGGGCTGAGAAAGCACCGCTTAGCTCCCTCTTTGAAATCCATCTGGCAACAAACTCACTGCCAAAAAGCTTATTTGGTACTGAACTGGATCAATCCACAGAACATAAAATTGGCATTTCAGAGGTGTGTGTATGTTCAGCAACATATCAACATATTTCAACGACGATTAAATGTCAGGCATTACTCATATGCGATATTAACACATTAATGTTTTCATAAAAAAAAAAGAAAGATCTCTCTCCTCATTCCACTGCATGGGAGATCTGTCAAATAAATTATTGCAAAGTAGTTTAAGCTAAACTTTATAATGTTGAAATTATATAATTGAGGGCAACTAACCTTTAAAATGGAAGATAAATGACAAAATTTAAGGGCATTTAATTTGCACAAATGTTAACAGTCTTTTTCTGGTTACATATTTCATATCTGCCATATTAGGCTCACAACACCTGTATAGGTCAGTTTTGTTTTTTAAAGCTATTTTATTATAGCAAGTACTAAGGAAGGAGTTTATCATATAAAAATGAGAGAGGCCATAAGAACAGGTCAGTGTGCTGACACAAACATTGCAACAGTGGAGCTGTCCTGTGGCTTCTCTGGTCTCTGCTTCTTTTTTGAAATAGACACTTGTATGTCTAAAACTCATATTCAGCTCTTGGACTCTCAGAACTTAATTCAAGAGACTTTCTTTGGGCAAACAGTCATCATGGTCTTGGAATAAACTATAGCACAGTGAACTTAACACAGTGTGTGATTTGATCTTCTTTGCCTTTGACTATAACACCAATATTTGACACTGAAATAATACTTAAATGTACTCACACGCAATTTCTCAGTCACGACTGTCTCAACACTAACAACACCAGAGAACAAATCACCCAACAATTAGCTGTGATGATTTTAACGTCAGCCGGGGCCCATAGTCTGCAACAAATTTAAAATGTCTATAACTCATGAGCTCAATTATAGGCCAAACTTTCATAGAAAAATATCAATTTATATGTATATTTCTTTTCTTGGCTTTTCATGCCTCTACGGCTGGAATCAATGGATTGAAGATAGAGAATATCATCACATGCACCTTTAGAATAATACAAATGGATGATGCAGAATAAAACTCCTTTTTATAAGGAAGCTATTTGTAGCTCTCCCTTGATCTCCTCGTGGAACCCTGAGTGATCAGCAGTAGTCACCTGTCTTGTTACTAACCAGATTAACAATGAAGAGACTGTGGCTTTGGGCACCAATACCGCTCTTTTCAGTTTGTGTCAGTAAAATTTCAAATGACCTTGAAAATTTGGAACATTATTTTTGGTATTTTAATTTTATTATTTCATCTTACCAAAAAACTGAGGCGCTAAAATTGGGGATCATACGAATGCTTACCACACGCTTGCTGAATTATATTTCAATATGTCACTTGGACAGGAATTAGGTTTTGTTCTTACAGATGCCCTTGAGTGATGTGGGATTCCCCTCTGTATGCTGTGAATACCATTGGTTAATAAAGAAACTGTCTTAGGCCTGTGGTAGGGTAAAGTAGAGCTAGGCAGGGAAAACTAAACTGAATCCAGGCAGGAAAAACTAAATTGAATGCTGGGAAAAAAGGAGGCAGAGCCAGAGAGAAGCCACATAGCCTTGCTGGAGACAGTACCAGGACTTTACCTGGTAAGCCCACAGCCTTGTGGTGATACACAGATTAATAGGGATTGATTAATTTCAGATATGAGTTAGCCAGAAATATGCTTAAGCTATTGGCCAAACAGTATGGCAAATAATATGGTTTCTGTGTGGTTATTTCAGGGCTGAGAAGCTGGGAATAAATGGGTGGCCTCCCTACAATACTTACCTATCATCTATCTATGTATCTATGTATGTATGTATCTATCTATCTATCTATCTATCATCTATCTATGTATGTATCTATCTATCTATCTACCTATCTATCCATCTATCTATGTTGGTAAAGATAAATAAACGATTACATTTTATTGACTTGGTGTCTCTCAAATAGAAAATTCACAATTTCTAAAGATAATCTTTTATCAAAACAGCATAAAACCACTCAACTCAAGATATTTTGTCATCTAAAAAATCCTATCTGAAAAATATTAGATGCTAAATTCTCATAGTCTCTGTGGTAAAAAAATAGGCTGCAGGCAGAACATCTTCCACGTGCCGCTGCAGAGAGGAGAGCTGTCCGACGGGACCCCCGAAAGGCTTCCAGTCCTCACAATGAAGCAGAATAATGGCAAGAACTCAGTTTTGCTAAAACAGCAGTTTTCTGCCACACACAAAGCTTTGCTGAACACAAGAACACTGCCAGAGGGATGGTGTGCATGAGATTTGGCGCCACTGGCTTCTACTTTGTCTTTTGTTCCAACGGCTTTATCTCTGTGGATTTCATTCTTCACTGCAGATGGCAAGACTTTATCTTACTGGTGTTTGAATATCTTTGGAGTAAAAACTATGAGAAAACGGCAGATTTGCTAACTTCTTTTTATGTATTAGTTACATGATCTTGATTTTTTTACAAATGGTTTATAAATAGTCCAAACCACTTCTGATCAAAGTGTTCCTCCATTTGTTAGCTTACAACAAAATAGAAATAAGACCCTACAAAACTCTCATAAAAGGAAATAAATGTCTCTTTACTATTTAGTAAACTAAATCTGCATGCATATTGATCCCTATATAAAATAACTAAATGAATCTGTTTATTAAGAAAGATTAGAAAAATAAGGTGCCAGCAAGCCTTGGTCACTGGCGATGCAGTTGCTAACTCATATCATTCTCACTGAAACAGAGGTCATATACAAATCCATAACCAATATTTGTGCAAAATGTCAATATCCAGCCTCTTTGGGGCAGTTGCTGAAGATGAGATGTGCACTTCATCACGTGGGCCTCAGACTTCGCTGTGATCACTGACCTTGCTCAGATTCTGAAAGAGGAAGAAATAAGCACACATCACTCACATATCCCCTAATCGGTACTACAGTGGAAGAACGGCAGTAGCAGAAGCCAGCCACAGGCCGTGGTACAAAAATGGACATCTCAGAGGTGTAAGAGCACAGGGATGTGGGAGGAAGCCCCAAGGGTCACATCTGACTGTCACAGGCTAGATGTTGTGACCTCCTTTGTACTTGGTTTGCCTTGTTCGTAGAAGCTGCTTGCTCATTTCCAGCTGCCCAGACTAGAAATAACCACAGAGAAACTGTATTAATTAAATCACTGCTTGGCCTATTAGCTCTAACATCTTGTTGGCTAGCTCTTATAGCCTAAACTAACCTATTTCTATTACTCTATGTATTGCCACATGGTTGTGGCTTACTGGGTAACCTTCTGGCAGGCGTCTGTCTCTGACAGAGGCTACATGGCTTCTCACTGACTGACCTTCTTTCTTCCAGCATTCAGTTTAGTTTTCCCACCTAGCTCTATTCTGCTAAGCCACTGGCCGAAACAGATTTATTTATTAACCAATAAAAGAAACACATACAGAAGGACTTACCACACCATTTCCTGGTTCTAAAAATTGGCTAAATGAGAGTATCTACTTCATATGCAGTGGCAAATTTACTTAATTAATATGAGTGAGGCCTTTAGACTATTCTAGAACACAGTGGGTAATAAATATTAATAATGGCAGTTATTATTGGGAAACTGCAAACTGTCCTGACTGAAATTGACAAAGCTCACTAGGAGAAGCACTAATGCCATCCTGGGGAAGAGGAAGGCAAAATGATACAAAAGTTATAGAAAATTGCAGGAAACCACAGCTCTGGGATTCATTGTAAAACTAAACCCAAAGGTATAATACCACACAGTAATTTGTCTTCTTGAAGTCATGTGACCACTAGACTCTGATTTTAGAAGATAACAACATAAATGAAGATAATGACAAGACTATCTAAACACAAAAATATATTTAAAATCTACATTTAGTATTTCTGCACTGGAGAAAGCCAAGATCAGTTTTCAGGACAGTGGATCTTGAAAGGCCTTTAAAGCAAAGAATCTGCACCTGATCGGTGACATCAAATTTTCTAATCCACGACAGCATTAGAAGGTCCTGATTATTTAACAATTGTTCAGAACTTGTCTACAAAGTGTGCAATTGACAGTTTACTTACAGTAAATTGTCAGATGCAAAAGGAAGGACTATTTATGGTTTTTTTTTTTTGGTACCAGTGGGGAGGGAGCTACTATAATATTCCAAAGCCCTTGATTATGTAGGCTAGTTTTCCTTACAACCTGTGCTTGCTAGCTTAGCTAACTCACCTTATTTGCCTGGATGATATTTATTGCAGCAGATACTGAGTCAAAAAAAATCGGCCTCTCGGTGTCTAGGTTTCCACAGTATGCCATCGCTTTGATCAAGGATGCTGCGGGGAAGCACGAGATGTGTGAAGACAGGCGGGGCAGCAGAGGCCGGCACTTGACATCAGCCGACGACACACTCTTACCTGTGCAATTGGCTAAGAACACATCCACACCCCTGCTCTTGCAATCTAGGTACAGCTGGAAGAAGTAAAAGAGCATGCTCATGGTTAGTTCAGAATAGCAGACTGCAGGGAGGAACTAGGTTTGGGCAGGGGAGGATAATTCCCGGGAAAAACAAATGATAAAAACAGTGTCTCTGAAGTCAAACCACCAGAGGGAGGCATTGTTACACAGTTGAGGACAGGCCCAGTAAGCGCTAGAAGATTCATACAGTGAAACATGTATTTTGCAGAGACTAAATGTAGATGCTCATATTGTCATATCTTTAGAAAAATGAAAACAGTTTTCTCTCCCCTGTAGGAATGATATAAGATTGCAGTCAGCATCTTTTACAGAAAGTCAAGGACCAACCTGTGGAAGTGATGAAGGGTACTAGCCTGCTAACTTTAATAATTTAAGAATATTTCATTGACTCAGTAAAACCCAGCTATTAAACCTCATTATAAACTGAACCAAATTTTCTTGTTATAAAAGTCCATTAAGGTGAGAAAGTTTAACTAACGCTCGAGTGCACTAAGGCCTTAACTCTTAAACTCCTAGACACCTGAACCAGAATCAATTTATGAACTAATGGTCTTAAATTCATCAAAAGCAAAATAAGACCATGAAGTTTGCCTAATGTGCATGTAAAAGTTCATTTACAGCTGGAACTGGCCATGTGGTAGTGATGCATCTTATATGAAAGACATGTCAGCAGTACTTACAATACACTCTAGAATCTATTGTAACCATGCACATTATAGATACATAATTGCTTTCATCCTTCTTCTTCAGTAAGTCATTGCTTCAAAACGAGAAAAGTAGATTAATCAGAGTTGTGTCAATTTGAGTATAAATTAAAGAACACAAAAAATAAAACGTAGGCTCTGACTTTGATTTGAGTGAACGACTCCTGTAAGTTAATGTGATTAAGTCAAGGTGACCTCCCAGTGGTTGACTTTCTCTAAAGCCCAGTGGAGCACAAACACAATGCTATTTTGGGTGACTTGTTGATGTTGATAAATACAATCTCCATTTCACCGACCTGCACCCCCACTAGCCACCCCCTACCCCTGTCCCCAGTGAAAGAATAAATAGAAGTCACTCAGTTCCTTTCAATGCACAACTCCAGGATCAAATCAATGCTCTCCATGCTGAAGTAACTAAATAATCCAGAGGGTTGCGAAAACGCAGGGAAGCTGGCGTGGCTGGAGGGACCCTGCTGCTCTCGGCTCTAGACTGTTTCCTAGAGTAGCTGAAACTAAGAAATGATCTTGTATGCAAATATATTATTTGCACTTTAAGAAATGGTTTTAAAATTTTTAAATATATGTGTATGTATGTCCATAAACATCCAAACACAAACACACACACATACACACACACACTATATATACTATATATATAATTACTATAATATATCACTATAATATATATATATTATTATTATTACTGTTTGTATGTTTGTGTCACCCACAAGCACACAACAGCGATAGAGATTTTAAAAAATCTGTGGAGTCAGTTCATTCTTTTTATGTTTATGCTGTTCTGGAGATCAACTCAACATGTCAGGCTTCTGGCAAGCACATTTACCTATGGAGGCAACTCACCAGCTCAAGAAATGACTTTTTAAAGTGAAAAAAGTAATACTAAATGTTGGCATTTCTGAGTGTTTCCTAACTATGATGGCCACTTCTTTACTGAGCGTTTCCTGCATCATACATCATCTCTGAGCTCACAGTGTGATAAGGTGGAGAACTCTACTTCTAGTGTATAGAAAAGGAAACAAATGGGTAGGCTCAGTAGGTAAAGCACTAGTCACACATGCACTAAGACCTGAATTTGAATCCTCAGAAGAGACATTTAAAAAAAGCCGGATGCCATAGGCAGGACAGTCCCATGGCTCCTGAGGAGAGATGTCAGGCAGAGACAGGAAAAGTCCCTGTAACTCCCACATCAGCTACTCAGCAGATGACAAAGAGATACTGTCTCAAACAAGGTTGAAAGCAAGGGCTGAAACCTGAAGCTGACCTTTGACATACACATGTATCATTCATGTGTCCACACTCACACATATGCCACACAGACATGGGGGAATAGAAAGAATGAAAATAAATTTTATCTCCAAGCCCAGAACTAGTATTGGGCGGATGTGTGACTCCAGAATTTTTCTATTCTTAAAGCTGGTGTTCTTAACATACATTATAATGTAGCCATGATCAACAAACCAAACAGTAATATGATGGGGAAAATGGAAGCAAGTACAAAACTGACAGCCTTGTATACACAAGGAAAAATACCATGTCAAGTGCAAGTATATTTTCCTGCCAATTTAAAAATAAATTGTATCAATTGTCTTAATCTAGCATATAGAACTTTTAATCCATTACCATAGTTTAAGGAAAACAAAACAAAACCCTCCAAATATTAGCATGTCCAGTGTCTGGATTGCTTGATTCATCTTAACTGTCAGCCTTCTGCCCTGAGCTCAAGGGCGGTAGGTACCTTTGTGTCTTTTTCACCGAAACATCTAGAGAAGGCAACTAACAATCTCAGCCACAAATTTAAATGCAATTCAACAACAACAGCAAATCCACACACAGGCCTAACTGATAAAGAGTCCAAACACTGTTTCTTTCCTGTGTGATCCACAGATCACCTGCAGCAGTCTCCTAGGGGAGTTTAAAAGGAAGACTTAGGACCATAGCCAGACCTCAGAAATTGAATTTTAAGTGAGTTCCCAGGAGTTTAAGTGGCAGACTCAGGCAATACAGAGAAAAGAAAAATACCAGCCGCAAAAGATCTCACAGTGAAGAAAGGCTAGGTACTTAAATTATGTGGGATTCCCCTCTGTATGCTGTGACTATGATTAATGAATAAAGAAACTGCCTTGGCCTGTTGATTGGGCAGAACTTAGGTAGGCAGGGAAAACTGAATGAAATGCTGGGAGAAGAAAGGCAGAGTCAGAGAGGCGCCATGGAGCCACCGTTGGAGATGGATGTGCTGAAACTTTGCTGGTAGGCCATGACCTCATGGCGATTCACAGATTGATGGAGATGGGTTAAATTAAGATGTAAGAGTTAGAGAATAAGAAGCTAAAGCTAAAGGGCCAAGCAATGATTCTGAGTGGTTATTTTGGGGCTGAGTAGCTAGGAAGCAACAAGTTGACTCCTTCAACACTTAAACCTTGATTTGCACCATTTATTTGCTTTCTGAATACCTTCAATTTTTAAAACAAAATCATATCCTCATTTCCACAAAGGAATTAACAGATTTCAACCAATGGATGATTCCCCAGCACATAGCTGGTGTGTGACAGATCTAGCAGGATCTCCAGACTTTCAGGAGAAGCAGTATCCCTCCAAGCACTCACCTTTGTGTCTTCCTGAACAAGAGATGCCCAAAGGTGGGACATTTCAAAGTCAATTTAAAACGCAAATGAAGAGATAAAAAAAATATATTGGATCTCAGTCGAAATTCACAGTGTGAACTTGCATCAAGCTGATTAACCTGAACTCGATTGATCAATTTTTCTGTTCATCTATTTATACATTTATTCAGGGAAGTGAACCCAAGGCTTTGATTGCTAGTCAGTACACAGTCACTGAACCAGAGCCCCAGAATAGCACAACAACTAAACAAAACATCAGGTAGACAGAAAGATAAAAAAGGGGAGCCTCTGCATGAGTTGAACACCCATTACAGTTCCCAGGCACAGCATGAAGAGGGGAGTGAATACAGCAGGTTCAGGGAGTGGAGCAGGCAAAAGCAGAGTTCAGGGAGGATTAGCTGGGTGGTGCAACCCTGAGGGGGCTTTTCCCCATCACAGAAGCATTGAAAACTCACTTCCTGGCAGATCTTATCCCTGATACCACTCCAATCTCAGCCTTCTCACTACTCTGACTTTGACCCCCTCTCCTATAGGTCTAGAATCCAGATGGATCTTCTGGAACAAACCTACTGTAGCATGAGATGCACTGTTCTATGTCCTCTGTGGGAAAGGGGCTTCGACTCTGTCGCTGAGATGGTTGAGGAAAACTCCTGCTACTGAAGGGAAGGAATCAGGCCCGACTCAGGCCAAGTAGATACCTCAACAAGTGTAGAGACTCCCGTGTAGTCGAAAAAGGTCAAGCCATTGCAATCCAGGACCAAAGAACACTTCTCACTGGGGCAGGGCTGGGAAGCTTCCTCTGTGGGAGACACAGCAACCGTAGTTAGAATTCATATTTCTTCTGTCGCTGCCTTGCTTGAATGGTAACAAAGCAACGGCAGCCTCACAGCGAACAGTAATTCTGAACTTTCATTCTTAAAATTTCAGTTAGCTACCCATGATTTCTGAGCTCTGCTTTTGTTTGTTGTTTTTATTAGATGGACAGGAGAACTCTACATGAGTCTAAGCACAGTGCAAACATGCTGAATGGTGCACTATCCAAATCTACTGCTTCTTTGGCTGGTAGGTGATGTGGGATTCCCCTCTGTATGCTGTGACTATGTTTTATGACCACTGGTTAATAGAGAAGCTGCTTTGGCTAATGGCAGGGCAGAATAGAGTATATATAATATATACTATTATATATTATATATGCAGTATATATATTACTATACTATTATTACTAAATATATAGTATATAATACTAAATTGTATATATGTATATATAAAACAAAATATATAAATATAGCCTGTCCAGTTTGTATAATGAAACTTGAATATGCATGTTTTTATTCTTTTCTAAAAAGGAGAATAGTAATATTTACAAATAAGGCTTTACAACAAAAAGCTGTAACCTAAAGGAAATTGTTATAAATTTAGAAAACATGTCAATACAGTAATGTTCTTCAAGAATTTATATAACTTTTATCTATAAACCATATGTCATGGTATCGAACATCTCAATACATATCCATGATTATGTAATCATAATTATTTGTAATTTGTTTATTTATGTAATTTGTTTACTGAAGTCAAATTAATCCTTAGAATGGTTTATCAAGTCAGTATTTCTCTAAGATCCTACCATAACTTTTTGCCAGTCTGAAGTTTCAAATGCTACAATGCAAACAATCTAGGTATAGATTAGGTCGGGAGATTGTTGACGATGCTGTCTGGCTGTAAATGGATGACTAAATGACACTGGCGTGTTTTTAAGAAAGTTGGTCTCTTTCAATCCTGCCTTAAGTCTTTCCACTGCTAAATTACATTCTCTGTTTTTGTTATCTTCTTGCAATCTTTGTTATTTTCTTGTAATCATTTCACAATGTATTGCTAAAGATTACTATAAAATCCTTGGAGTTTATAAATCATGATACAAGACGTCTCTTCCATTGTCCAAGTCTATCTATGCTTGTTTATTTCATCTTTAATTTTTATACATGATTTTCTTTTTGCTTCTCTTTTTCAAACCATTAACAATAAAACAAATCAAAACAAAATACCAATCCATTAACAATAAAACAAATCAAAACAAAATACCAATTCATGTATTATTTAAATAAGATATTTTAAAGATATCAACTAATAACATTCTCTTTTTAAAAAAAATCCTAATGCAGATGCTTTTGATTCTCTGAGATAAAAATTTAAATACAATGAACATTTCTGAAATCTTCCAAAAGCAATAATAACTTTTATTTGCCCATATCTCCTCAACCTTTTCATTCCTCTCATTTATGGGTATAATCTTGTGTTCCACGTTTCTAAGTAAAACAAGTAGCACAATACAAATTGCACCGTCCTAGATCAGAGCGATGAGAGCACACGGCTAAGAGCTGTCAGCAAAGGAGGTAAACTTGGAGCATGTGCAAAGGAGACAACTAATCTATCTCCACAGGGCAGGTGGTGCATGGCAGGCTTTATCAGCAACAACAAAACAGGTTTCAGAAGACCTTAACCATCAGGTGTGGGTGGGAAATTAAACCCAGGCTGTGGAAAACAGTCCTTTCTGTAGAATATTCATTAACCCCTTTAATTAAAAAATATTCATAGTTGCATAATTTAGGAGTGTTTTCTGTTTCCTTCAAAAGATTCTGACAGTCTGCAAGTCACTTGTCATTTTTAAAAGTATCTTCTATTGGTATCAATTAACTATTGAGAAACAGAATTATCTCTCTAATTTCTAAGGGAAGGAGGAAAGAAGGAACATTTAGAGCAAGCAATACTGTCTTTGGGAAAACGTGTGATTGTTATTGAACATTTCACTCATAGGTCTGCTTTCTCATTAATCCTAGCAGCCAAGTAATACAGATGCACCCTGAATTTAAGCGCCCTGTTGGGAAATGGAAGTGCAGTGGTGAACAGAGTGAGGAAGGCACCTGCCTTCCATAGACTAGCAGTCAAATGGAGAGTAGTCAGCTCAGTTTATATCTCACGACAGCTTGAGAAAAAGTGCTAAGGAAGAACTAGAAACAGCTGGCAATGCCCCCCCACTCCCACAAACACCTCCAAAATCTATTTCCTCACCCTCAGTACCTGTGAATGTGCTACCTTACAGGACAATAAGACATTTACAGATTTGACAAAATTCTGGATGCTAGCAAGAGGAGATTATCCTAGACCATCCAAGTGTCAGGCAATTCAGTCAGAGAAGACATGATAAAGAAGGGACCAAAGAGACCTGAAGATGCCTCTACTGACTTTAAAATTAATTATGATCCAGGGAATGGAGATGGATCAAACTGGAAAGGGGAAGGGGATTTTCCTATAGAACCTCCAAAAGAAGTATGTCCCAACACTAACTCCAATGCTATGCTCATAGGACCCCAAACTTCTGTCCCTATACTGTAAGCAATAAATGTGTGCTGCTTTAAGTCATTGAGCTTAGGATAGTTACAACAGCAGAGACAGAAGTAAAATATACCTGAGTTTATTTGGGGCTTAAGAGTAGGGCAAGGGTTTCAGAAAGGTGGAAGTTTGCTTAAACTTTGAGGTCCATGACAACAGAAGCCAGGTCTACTTTCTTAATCATTGAATATGCAGCACCTCCTACTATTCCTAAGATCAAGAAACCTTAAGAAAATACATGAATTTTTTTCCATGTGAATAATGATATGAGAACTGAATGAATGACAAGAAGCAAGAGTCACATGAGTAGAGACCTGTAGGAACCTTGAGGTTTCCTTAAGTGGGGAGAAGACTACCACGTGGAAGTTCACCATGGCAACAGACACTCTACGGAGCTCCTGTGAGCATTACCATCAGATGACCAAAAGTACTAAAAATACTTTTAGAAGATCTGCTCACAAGTAAACAATTATAGTTCTCATTCAGAAAAAAAAAATGCTATGGCTTCCATCTTCTCAATAACATAGATGGCTTTATAGGTTTGTTTATTCTGTTGTATGTCAACTATGTATCCGCAAAGGCTGTTGGAGAAAGGGAATTTTTGACTTTTATTCTCTTACCCAGTGTTTTTCTTGCTCCATGTCTCACTTTGGTTGAGCCTCTTTGGGTCCTATTTTTTTTCATCCCTTAAACCAGGTGAATGTCTCCTAGGTGGCTGCCTATCACATTAACTTACCATCCTGTCATTTAAACACAGCTACCTTTGCAGACACACGCGGATTTCACTGTTCCCTGTTTGAAAGTTTTAAGCTTTAGTGCCCTCATTCATCTCACAACAGAAGAAAGCAGTCTGAGAGTCACGCTGATTCATTTTGAATGAGACTGAAGACGGGGTCACAGAAGAGATACCATAAGGTAGGGAGCCCAATAGAGGTTTAGTGATGAAACTGGGGAAAAGACTCTTCACAAAGGCTGAGAAAAGTAGGGGCAGAGTCCTGTAGCTGAATAAGAGGGGCGAGGAGGAGCAAAAGGAAAAGGAGGAACAAGCTGATGATGATGATAAATTGGAGTCCCCAGAGAAGGGTGAGTGAGTAGGGTCGCTAACTTTTCTATCAGTACCATATAATTTTATATGTATTTTCTTATAATCTACTTTCTTTATTTCCTACTATGATTTCTTCTTAAGATATTATATAATTATAAGCACTATCTACTAATTTCCAAATACAATGAGACTCTAGGGTGATTTTCTCATTCTAAATTCCCTTCTATTAAAGACTTACAGCTTAGGAGCTGAAGTCTTAGTGGTTAAGAGCCTGTACTACTTCTCAGGACCAAAGCCTGGTTCTTAGAAGCCCTGAGGGGGTGGTTCACAACTGCCTCTAAGTCCAGGTCTAGGGATTCAGTGTTCTCTTCGAACCCATGTATTCATGTGCACACGCCTCACCCTCAACCTCCCCACGCACAAACGCATAATTAAAAATAAAATAAATACATTTTAGATGACTTATATATTCATTGCATATTAGCAAGTAAACCTGCATGCATAATTTCCATTATTTGAAATATATTGAAACTTATATTATAGTCCCAGTTTATGATCACCAGAGAAAGAGCCAGAGAGACCTCAAATCATGCTTATGCATCATGCCCACATTCACTGCAACAGATTTTTACAATTTTCTCCCTCCTGTTGTTCTTTTTCTTTCTCACCAACTAATGATATTGAAATTATGTAATGTATAATTTCACATCAGTCTATTGAGAATTGAATCCTTGACTAGACGTGATTTAGGTTTTATGAATCCTGTCTTTTATCACCTGACTGCTCTAGGTGTCACCATAGTGACTGCTCTATGGTGTCACTCATTCTGCAGGGTCATGCATCGGGACTGTCCCACTCATACTGCACAGTTGTGTATCACTGCCTCCTGTGCCTTTCAGTTTCTATACATTGAAGGAAAGTCAACTCAACTCATGCTCTTATAGGACAATAAAGTTCTAGAGACTAAATATCGACCTGGACATTTTATTAAGGACATATCATTAAGACATTGTTGCTGACACCTGACATTTATCCTAGGAAAGCATGAGCCTATAATTGATTTAATTGTGTGAAGCAGAAATCTAAAATGTATGCGAAAATATTTGAGAAAAAGGTTGATCTATGTTAAGACTATATATAGTGGAGATATTCCGTTTTAGGAGAAGGAAAAGGAGATCGAAAGAGGCAAGAAGAGGGGAAGGAGAAAGAAGTGGGAGGTGAAAAAAGATGGAAGAAGATGGGGAAAGGAAAAACATAGAGAAGGGGAAGAACTGTGAGGAGAGAGGCAGAGGAATGAAAAGGAGAAGGAAGAATGAGGGAAAAGGAAAAGGCAAATGAAAAGGGGGAAAGAAATGGGGAAAATGAAGAGATTCTAGCGGAAGAACAAGGAAACGCCAAAAGGTGGTGGGAGGCCAACAGAGAAGGAAAGAAAGGGATTTTGGTCCGCTGTGCAAGCTCAGCTCAAGACATTGAGACCATCTCTTCTTAAAGCGAACTCACCATTGCAGTTGCCGTTGGACAGGGGATTGAGCAAGGTATTCTGTTCACACTGAAAGAAAAATAGATGGAAAGGGTGAAAATACTGTGAAGCTACAGAGCTACCACTAAACACGCCCACACTCCTGTCTCCGCCCACACTCCTGTCTCCGCCCACATTCCTGTCTCCACAATGTGTCAACAAGGAGCTCCTCCAGATGTTTTTCTCAAGGCTTGTTTCAAATGCTGTGTGCACTGAAGCAGGAAACGAAGAAGCAATTATGGGCTGGAAGTCAGTATACATGAGTTCAGTGGATACTTGGCTCACTGAATCGGATGTGAGAACATTTTTTGAAAGACCAAATTTGTTTTGATCTTGTTGTGGGAGTAACTTCCGCTGCCTCAATCAATAGTCGCTGAAATACGAGCCCACAGTGCAGCGGGGAGCGACTTCCGCTCCGTCAGCCAATAGCTGCTGAAATACCAGCCCACTGGGGCGTGGTATATTTCTCTTAAAAAGAGAAGCATATCCGGAATAGGCCCTCTTGGTTCCGGCTCTTGGTTCCGGTGCTCGGTCTCGGCTGCTGCTCCCGGCTCCTGCTCCAGCGACTAGGCTCCCTTCCTGTCGGTTTATGGTGTATGTAAGTTTTACCCCCCGCCAAATAAATAACCCCTTAAAACATAACCGGTGTGGGATTGATTCGTTAACATGATCTGAGGTCACAAATTATTTCATACACATTAACCTCATGAAGATGCCTGAGAAACATTTATGAGTTGCTAAATGTCAAGGGGTGAAAACCAAAGGGGTTCTGTACCATGGAGCTTAGCTTCGCTAACAGGGAGGTCTCAGAAACAGCAGCTATCTGTTTATCAAAAAGTGTGCTTTTTTTTGGCTGTTGATGATAATGGGTAGTTTTCAGTGTTTACTAAATACCCAAGTCTTGATGATAATAACAGCTGAAGCATCCTGTGAAGTTACTAATCGTCTGCTCCATTATGAGGAAGTGGAAGTCAAGGATGAGAAAATTAGAAGACAGGACCAAAGTCTCAAAGCTAGGGACAGCTCAGACTGGCATTGAAGCCAATGCCTTTCCAAGTTTCCACTCTCGATCACAGCTTTTACAGTTTCACTGTGTATACATCATTAAGGCTGAGTGAAGAATTGATTTCCTCTGCGTGTTATCCAGGGCAACAGATCACTTCTGTCAGGTTTTTCTTACATTTCCAAGATTTAGTCTTTCTTTTACGCAGTATTCAGATAATGACATCTGCACTGTGTGGTTGAATCTTGGAACTAGCCTTCAGCAGATGCAATTTTCTTTCTTCCACTTACCTTCTTGAAAACCTTTTGTGCAGAAGAATTTTAAATAATTTATCTAGATACTCTGCTTTTAGGAGGTGAGTTATACCTTCTCCAATTTCTTATGACTGGGCTGAACACAATGACTTCCTTCCACAGTATAGCATAGAAAGGGTATAGTAGATGGACTTTAGAGAGGAGGCATGTCACTACACCAACAGTAATCAGTCATGTTTGTATTAGACACCTTGGCTACTACAGTGTCTCTTCCTCCAGATCATTATCCTAGTCTCACAATGCAGAATACCAGACAAATTCCAATACAGAGGTATTCTATAAAATATCTGGCCAGCTCTGCTCAAAATATTCAAAACCTTTAACTAGAAAATTTAAGAAATTGTCATAGACAACAGGCATGTAAATAAATATGACAGGTAAGTGCAATGTAGCACACTAGCTAGAATCCTGGAACTTCCCTCACCAAAAGAGGCACTAAAACAGATAAACAGATGGATTTGTTAGTTGGAGATAGTATGTGGTATGTAAGACACTAACATCTCAATGTGCTATGAGGTATAGAGTAGCTACCTGACCCCATCTTCTTAGTGTTTCTCTAAATCAAAACTGTAAAATTAAAGTTATTTCTAAATATATTTTGTCCTAACATAGTGCCAACTCTAATCCCATTATGAAACATTAGTGTAAGATCCTCCAGCTGAAACATAACTTCACAAATGAATGACAGTCCTAACAAAATGAAGAAGACAGAAAGCGGTGTTGGAAATGCAGGTTCCTATCAGGCAGCCCTGGATTACACTGCACTACAGGGTGTTATGTGAAGAATATTGAATTAGACACATTTCATATCGGATAATTGATATTGGAGGTGGCGCATGTTGTGAATATGTTTTATTGCCATTGGTTAATAAATAAGGTACTTTCAGCCAACGCTTAACAGAGTAAAGCCAAGATGAAAGAATGTAGAGAGAGAGAGTAGGCAGAATCAGTGAGAAGCCGTATAGCTGCCACAGGAGACAGACACCTCCACCAGAGCCTGCCGAATCTTTGCCGGTAGGCCATGACTTTGTGGTGATGCACAAATCAATGGAGATGAGTTAGTTTAGGATATAAGAGCTAGCTAAAAATACATTTAAGCTATTGGCCAAACAGTATTGCAAATAATAAGTCTCTGTGTGATTTCAGGTCCGAGAGGCTGAATGAACAGCCCCCACCAACAGTTAATGAGATTATCTAAAAGTACTTATTTTTTTCTTAATACTACTTTGTATAGTGACTGTGGGCTAACACCAGTCCACAAAAATGACTTACAACTGTGCACTCCCATAAAGTATAAAGACGCTATGAAAGAGATAGGCCTAGTATCAATCTGAAAGCTCTGGCCATGATGCTTAATATTCCCTTGAGAGTGAAATCCTAAAAGCACAAAAACAGGACAGACATCATATAATAACAATCTGTAGGGTCCCAAAGACTCTCCTGTGTCAAGGATCTAACACTCATTTATACTCTGATGATGTGGGAGAATTGTCTGTATTTTGTCAATCATATTTTAATAAAACGCTGATTGGCCAGGCAGGCAGTATAGGCGGGAAAACGAGACAGGAAGCAGAGGTGATGCAATGAGAACAGGAGAATTCTGGGAAACAGGAAGCTGCCCCGCCACTCCTGCGCAGACCACCGAAGAGACTACATGTAACTTGCCCAGTTGAGAAAGGTACAGAGCCATTATGGCTAACATAGATGAGAATAATGGGTTAATATAAGTTATAAGAGTTAACAAGAAGCCTGACCTAATGGGCCAATCAGTTTATAACTTATAGAGATCTCTGTGTGATTGATTTTCTCTTTGGGGCATGCCGGCGTGGGGTACCGGGCGGGACAGATACCCCAACAAGCCAGCCCCTCATGTTACATATGGCGCCCACGTGGATAACTGAATCCACAAAAAACTTGAGAAAGCTTGGGAAAGAATAGAGTAAAGCATGTTTTCTTGGTAGCAGCAATTTCTCAGGTCTGCTCTGCTTGCTAGAGGCAAGCAAGCACTCTCATCTAAGAGAGGCTTCCTGACTCAGCTTTAGCTGCAAAACCTTGCAGCTCTTTTAAGGGGTCCTGCCACGAAGCACTTAAACGGTGTTGATGAAAAGCTGAACGCATGCTTTTCGGGTTTTCAGCAGTAGCACGAAAAAAGCTGTGCTGTTTTAAAATGCTGACTTTCTGGGCTGTCCTGCCAGGGCAATCTCTGACTCTTTCAGGTAGGCAGTCAACTGAGTGTGGTCTATGAGCAGAATACTACAGCTTGCTTGCTAGCAAGGACCTTAAAACGCCATAGAGTTGTGGCAACAAAACTGGCTACAGCCAGTACCTCTGCCGAGGCTGGAAAGCTAAGGATCTAACCGTCAAAGCCACAACTTTCCGTATTGCTTTGTAAATTAAAGGCTCGTGTGGTCAGAAAAAGAGAGACATACAGTAAAGAGAGATTCAAAGAGGAAAAAAACCTCTACATGGTTTACAATATGTTAAAAATATATGCAGGATAAAAGTTAAAGTTCTTAAAGTAAAAAGAAAGAAAGAGAGTAATTGGATGTGGTAGAACACACCTTTAATCCCAATGCCTGGGAGGCAGAGGTACGTTGACCTCTGAGACTTTAAGGGACAGAGGTAGTTGACCTCTGTGACTTCAAGGTGTGGTAGCACACACCTTTAATTCCAATGCCTGGGAGGCAGAGACAGACAGATCTCTAAGTTCAAGGTGTGGTAGCACACACCTTTAATCCTAGCACTGGGGAAGCAGAGACAGAGGGATCTCTATCAGTTCAAGGTGTGATAGCATACACCTTTGAGCCCAACACTGGGGAGGCAGAGACAGAGGAATCTCTATGAGTTCAAGGACAGTCTGGTCTACAGAATTATTCCAGGACAAAGATATATACAGAGAACCTGTCTCAAAAAGCCAAAAGTTAAAAGAAAAAATAAAAAAATAGAGATTAAAATAAAGCTACATAAAGATAAAAAATACACAAAAAATCTTGATACTATATGTTATTATGCTCTCTTGCACGCATTAATAATTACAGAAATAATAACCTCATGCCTTCATTTTCAATTGTAACCAGAAAAATCATGTATCTGGTTCTGTATGGGAAGCAGGGGTTAAAGGTCATTGGCAGATAAGGATGAGAACTTGTTATAGAGATTTGCATTGGTATGGATCTTGGTTTACTGATACAAATTTAAAGCCAATTTTGTTATATATATATAGAAATATATATAACAAATATATATAGAAATATATATAGAAATATATATATTTCTGCTCTTGATTAAGGTATTGTGTTTGTGCAGCACACTTAAAAATGTAATATATAATTAAGAAATACAGGTTAATAGATAATCATCTATAACAGTCAAGTTTGTAGTCTTGTTAGTTGGGTTTTCTAGATGTACAGAGATGTATTTCAGATGAATAGGCATTCTTCAAATCTTTCAAAGACTACAAAATATGGCATTTAAAATGTTGAAGAACTTAGGACTTCCCACGGGGCAGGGAACCCTGACTGCTCTTAGGACTGGAGGTGGAGGGGGAGAGGGAGGGAAAAGGGAGGTGGGGAGGAGTTGAAAATTTTTAATAAATAAATAATTTTTTAAAAAAGAACTAGATTGTCACATATTTATTTGCCATGATGAACAAATTTCTAAAAATATTTAATATTGTCCTATTCTCAGGGTATATTGTAATGAACAGACAAACATACAGCATTAAACTTTTTCTAGGACCAGGTCTATAAACACATTTATAATTGGTGTCTCCTTGAGGACATCTTTAGTGATCTGTAGTACGGCACACATCATAGACCTGGCATGCCTACCTTGCTGATATCATCGAGTGGTTGACTGCTCTCATCTTCCTTTAGGATGATTTTCATTAGATCAGTATTAAATTTCTTTGCATTCAGGAAAACAAGTGGGTTGTTTATTGAGATGATTTTTACCTGTTGCAAGGTTTCCTTATAAAGGGATAAAAGGGATAAAAGGATTCAGTCAAGTCAGAAAAAAAAAAAAGAAACCAAAAAATAATACACCCAATCAGAGTAAATCTTGTGAGTCAACCCATCACTTAATTATGGATGCAATCTCTCTCTCTCAAGTCTTTATTTTTTGTATTTATTTATTTTTGTTTTTACATCCTGACTGCAGTTTCTCCTCCTTCCTCTCCTCCAAGCTCCTCACCCACCCACACATCCACTCCTCCTCCTCTGTTTTGCTTCAGTAAATGGCAGGCCTCCCATGGATATCAACCAGCCATGATATATCAAGTATGGATGCAATTTCTCAACTAATATTTTTGTTATCTAAATCTATTTGAGAGGCTTAATGGAATACCACATGTATGAAGGAAATACACACTTTTCTGCATTGAGAAACATCAGTAACAAAACATGTTCATAGCTTTGCAGAAAGTGTCTTGTACTCCTCCTCACTGGGTCCTCTGAGACAAGAGCCTAGATTGCCCACCTCCCACCAAGTCCCTCTTCCATTCAGCCTACGAATTACAATTAACTTACTGTTGTTTTCACAATGGGTCAAACTGGAGCCTCTCATACTAGGCAAGTGCTTTGTTACTGAGTTCAACAGTTTTAATACAACTGAAAATGTTTCTCTAAGTGTCAGCTGTTATCTATCCAACACTGACGTAAGCTCCTCTCTAGCTAAAGTAGGACTTTGCAATCAACTGGCAGTCCTAATTGTAAGAAAGCGATAAGAGACCGTGTTTGGAACACAGGTTTCCTAGACCAGTGGGGATTACACTGCACTGCCAGATTGTACATGAAAGATGCAGAAAGGGAGAAGAAAAGGTCTTGACAAAAACTATATTTTAGACATCTTCTCAGATAGTATTGGCAGCACTTGGTGCTGCCCGACAAAAGCCCCCTTTTCTGTGACTTTGAGACAGGTATCTGATTGAGAAGATGGCCAATCCTGTGCAATGATAGCTCCTTACCAACCGAGCAAGGCATTACTCCTTCAGGCTTTAGTATTCCCATAGAAGAAGAGATGCAGAGAATAGCCATGCATGCATGCATAAGAAATAAAGAATTAGGTACGTAAATGTGGGTAATTTTCATACCTCATTGTTTGCTCATGTTGTAAATAAACGTTTGAAATAATATATATTTCAGGGTTTATAAAACTAAAAATACTTCAATCTGGAGTATGAGGAAATTGTAACAAACAATACAGAGAAGCAAAAAATTTGGCTGCCCGTGTAACTTTTAATCGAGAAGCAACCACTTAGAAACTGAAAATAAAGCGTTAATGTTTAGCTCTGTCATATACGGTCATCAGGTTTGATGGTTCCAGGAGCTTCAAGATGAAACAACTAAATATTTGTCAAAGGATAAAAATTCAACTAAGAATTCTCAACAGAACTGAGCTTGTTGAGTGAGAAGAGATATTCCAAGTTAGAATGGGCATTCTGCACGAACAAGAGGTAAAAAACGGGAAGGGGGGAATAGCACAATTCTAGTAAAGTAAAATTTTCCTTCAACAACTTCAATGCAAATAATGTGCAAACATAGTCACACCTCTTATTTTTATGGAAAATATTAGGAAACTACTGAGATGTAACATTTTAATGAAACTGGGATTTTTACGAGCAAAAGTTATTGCTTGAATGGATGATAAAAGAAACAACCAAGATCTGAGAACATGAGAAATTTCTAGCATTTGTATCTGTCCTAAAAATCTCTCACTCACACTAAGTTATATTTGGCCCAAGAAGGCAAGGATTATGCATTTTTAAAATGAAAACTCGTCAACCTAAAATCATATTCTATCTGGACGACGAGGACATCAGTGGGGGATGATGGAACTCTAGGTGAAATTCCCATGGTAAAAATACAAAAGAAGAGACAGGCTGACTTGCTTAAAAACTCGAGCCTGGGACACCCTCCAAGGTTTTGAATCACATAGCCCTCTGTGAAGTAAATCTCTTATTAAAAGAACAAACCATTCTCCTGGGTGTCACAGAAAGACTCCTGACGTTACTTCCTGTCGTCAGGCTACCTGGAAAGACCTTGACATTGGTCCTCTTGGAAGGAGGCCAGTTCTCTGTGTTCTAAGGGGAATCATAAGGCAATGGAGCAAGTGAATATAAAATAAAGGAGAAAATGTTAAGCAAACATTTATCAAACAGGTTCAAAGTGAGGCCAACTCTTAAAAATGGGAAAAAAATGATTCAAGCGAGCACTTATGTTGCTATTATTTTCCCCCACTTTAAACTTTTGTGGTTATTTGTTAAAACAAGAAACTAGAACTGCCCATCCCTGCCTAGTGGATGCTATGCTTGGTACACAGCTGCAAACAAAGACCCTTGGTTAAACTCTGGGTCATAAAACAAAACAGGAAAAGGAAAATGTGGGAAAGGAAGTGAAGCGAGGGATGGGTTCATGGAGTTGAGAGCGATAACAGGGGTCAGGTGAAAGCAATCCTGCATGAAATTGTCAAAGAACAACGTCAAATCTTACAGCATGATAGAACTCAGGCGCTCATACGGACCCTTACACATGCGCAAGGTAAGTCGGTTTATATAATTGCCTTTTAATGAAAGTTCTCTACTCTGCACAATTCCACGCCTACTGACATTCTAGACAGAACCTCGGACTTAATTCCTCTCAGCTAATAATTTAGTATCACTGTATTTCCAAAGAGCATTTTAAAAGTTCCTTGAGAATTTCATACATGCGTACGTCTGATCATATTCCCTAACAGTGACTAGGTTGTTACAGCAGCAGTGCAACAGTGACTTAGGTTTTTTGTTTTTTTCTCTTCCCCAAATTTCTTTATCACTTAAGGAAGAAAAGGCTATCACTTTGGCTTCTTGTATACAGTTTAGTAGTGGAAAGGAAGGTTTCAAATGCCTGAAATAATCTCTGCCAGAAGTTCAACTGTGAACTGAAATTCTATGAACTATGATGTGATTTAATTCGACACTGAATTCAAAGAGATTATTCTTTTTCTCTACTGATTAATGCAAATCTACTGTTCTGTGTGGTGCTCACATGTATACCCCTGGAAACCAATATCTATAAGAAATGGAATGACATTAAAATGGAATGACATTGTCAAATAGCATCTTTTATCTAAGTTGATAACCTTCACAGCTGTCTCATCCACAAATGCCAACGCTTGCGCAAAGGAGAAACGGAGTTAGACTTACATCGTGCATTTCTGTCTTCACTTTTACTTCCATTTCTTTCATGTTTGTTATGCTTAGAGTCTTTGCCCTAAATTCCAGGCAGAGGAAAGTTACGAGTCATTTTCTGATTACTGCATTAGCAGAGAAGAATCAAAAGTAGTCTTAAAAATTAGAAATTACATGGTTTATCCTCTATGGAGATTTGTCTAGAAGATATTGGTAAATCTATACTTTATAAAGAATAACAACAGAAGAATCTGACTAAAACTTAATAAGTAGAGTTTATCTTATTTAATTCGTCAGAATCCCATAGTTTCAAACTTAAAAAGTTACACAGACTTTAAAAAAAAAACTTATGAAATGAGAAAGAGCTAAAGATTATATGGTGTCTGAGTGGAAGGAAAAAAATGGTGGCAGAAAACCATGATAATAATCTATATTTGAGGTTGATAAATTTGAGATTGTATTTGAGGTGAAAGCATATTTTATATTTTATTTTTACTTTTTGAAGTTATTGTAGATAATCCCAGAAGACCCATGCAAATGGACTGTGACAGTCAGTAGCTGACCTCTGGGAATTCAGCAAAGGAATTGTTCAAATCAAGTGATGGGACTGATCATGTGTAGTCAACGGACAAAGTGATAAAGAGTTCAGCCGCAAATGACACAGATTCAAAACGTGAAAGTGGTCATTTAATTTCCCAAATGGTGATACCCTATGAAATTTGTTGTAGTTTGGATTTTAAGAGGCTCGGTTCCAGCTGACACTGCTCAGAGGGCAGTAGAGCCCTAAAGAGATTAGGGACAGCTGAAGGCAACTATATCGCTGGACATGTGTCCTTGAAGATGACATGGGCACCTAACCCCTTCTCTCTCTGTTTTCCAGGCATTTAGGAAGAGTAGATTTATCCCACTGCTCACTTCCACCTTGGAAGCACTGGGCCACTGCAGGACCAAGGCAACCTCCAAAGCTGTAGTCAAAATAAAGTTGTCCCTTTAAGTTGGCTTATTTCAGGGAGCTGCTATGATATTGATGCTCCTTTCTGTTACGACCGGTATTAGTAGATATATAAGTAAAATATTTTGCTATTTCTGTTTCCCCACTGGACACAAGGGGATATGAAATTGTAGAACAATATATATTGTGTAAAAGTAAAGGCAACTATAAATCGTGTGTTTTGCTGTGGAGTAAAAGGAAACAGGATTTAAATACAGCCTTACCTTGGGAAGCGTCCTATCACGATGGCTATAGTGCAGACAACACCGAACAGCAAACCCACATTGGCAGCAAAGCATATGGTAAATATGTAAGTACTGATCCATATGCCCTAAAGAGACGAGGGAGAAAGAAAACGTGGCTACTCTCTCATTGTTTCAGAGCTGCAAATCCCTCATAAATATACTCAACAGCACTTCGGTGAAAGTTTGCTTGTTTATTTAATTTCTCTCTCTCTCTCTCTCTCTCTCTCTCTCTCTCTCTCTCTCTCTCTCTCCCTCTTTCTCCTTCCCTCTCTTCCTCCCTTCCCTGCCCCTGTGCCTGTAAAAAAGAGAGAGCTGGGTGGCAGAGGGCATGCAAGATGAGACCATGATGTGAGTTGAGTATGGAAGGCCAGATGAAAGCTTATTAGAGTAGAACCTCTCCATGTGGGTTTCAGAGATCGAACTCCAGTCATCAGGTTTGGCAGCAAGTGCCTTTTCCCACTAAGCCATCGGACCAGTGCATGAACATACACTCTCATATGAATAGAAACGCAGAAATACAGAATCATGCCATGGCTCCATCATACTCTAAGTGATAGAAAAGGAAAAGCTCTTAATATTTAAAGATATGTAAAATGGTTACTTAGAAATGGAAAAAGAAATCTTGAGGAATGGACATACAGACTTTCCTTAGACAAGTCTGAGATAAATATTTCTAAAGAACATTTTAGATTTAAAATCCTTTTATTTTTATCTGCAGAAAACTGGTTTGAAACAAGCTGTTTGAAAAGCTAAGCCCTTGGAAGCAAACAGAGAAGGTTTTATTTGGAAACACTGGTGTTAGGCACCCCATATTAAACACTTTGTATATTTTGACCTTTTATGGGTTACTATAGGGTCATCATCTTGTACAGAAGACAGTTTTATTAATGGGGGGGGTGAGAGATTTACTTAGCTGTAGATGCAAAGATAAGTGTTTAGAATGTGGCTAGAGATTATATTGGTTTAGGAAAAGGGCAGTAGTAAGGCCTCCTTTAGTCTATCACCTTACCAACCACAGGTAATTGGTTGGGTTTACAGTACCAGGCATGAGTATCCTTCTACTGAGTGGGCCTTAACCAGGTGGCCAGGGGACACCTCTAAATTCTAAGTGCCACTATGTGCTTTTGAAGACATCTTGCCATGTTGGTCATTGTTGAGATTCATAGATTTCACAGCTGGGTGATTCTATTGACTGCTTTTCTCCCTGGGATCTTGCATAGCACCTTTGGATACTATGAGAGTTCATCCTTAGGGGAAAGCGTCTAGCTTTGTTTCACCTTGTTTCCTCTGAGACCTATATCTGATGTGTATGGACTCTTTAACAATTGGCCGTACTTGCAAGTTTTGGGAAGCAAACAAGTGCAAAGGCAATAGATTATGTTATTCTGGGAGTCTCTTGGACTCCTCTAAACAACCACAGGGAAGTTTCCCATGCCTGGCACTGGGGTTTTTGTTTGATAGTCTATGGCTATTGAGGGAAGCATTACCCAACATCTTTGGCATTAATTCATCACTCCCTTCTCTCCACCTACCTGCCTTTCCCTTCTGAGCTCGCCCGTAATTCTATGGTCCTTCCCTCTTTCCTCTCTGCATTGTCCTCCATCTTCTTCTCTCAACTACATCCCCACTGGCTTTCCCAATTTTCCCCAGCACCTGTGACCTACTATGACCTGTCTAGAGCATCCCAGCACAGTCTGTTTTTACTTTTCGGGTTTCTATGGTTACTCCAGGTTATATAGACGTATATAAAAAGTACAGCTCTACAACCACAGCATCATCTTCTATAGGTCAGACTCTCCAGTGATTAGCAATTTCCTCTAGTTACTTTATAGTTAATATTATCAAATGTAAATTAACAATAAACTAGTTCAGCAATTCCATTAGAATAAGTCCCAACAGTGTTCTGTGACAAATAAAGACCCAAACATCAGTTTTGTATCGCAGATTTCAGGAAATGGTAAACTCTTAGCACTCATATTCTTTCTCAAAGAATTGCTTGGGATCCATAACTCCTAAACACAAGTTAACCTCAAGGTAACTGAATTATAAGAGACATTTGTTCTCATTCCTTCAAGACAATGAGTCAAGAGGTTAGCAGCCACAGAATGACTTTACTCTCCTGACCTAGGTCAGGGTAGCCACTTGGATGATGAACACCAGTGAGATTATATACAACTGGATCAGCTTCTCAACTCAGTTTTAAACTGTGTGTGAAACTCCTGTGTAGAGTCAGGTTTTCTCATTTCTTTGCAGGGTTTTTTACACGCAACTATAGATAGAATCAACCTAAAACTGTAAATAAAATAAATAAATAAATAAATAAATAAAAGACTTCTGGGGGGGGACAGAGAGTGCTTGGCTTTGTCTTTGTTTTTTCATAGGGTTTTTTGTTTGTTTGTTTTTTGTTGAGTTTTTTTTTTTTTGCTTTTTGTTTTGTTTTGTTTTTTGACACAGGGTTTCACTGTAGCTATTTAGCCTGTCCTGGAACTATCTCTTGTAGCCCAGGTGGCCTCAAACTCACAGAGATTCCCCTGCCTCTGTCTCCTGAGTGCTGAGATTACAGGTGTGTGCTACCACCGCCCAGCTGTTTTCTTATTTTTATTTGTTTGTTTTTTGAGACAGAGCTTCTCTGGGTAGCACTGTGTGTCCTGGACTCTCTCAGTAGACCAAACTGGCCTTGAACTCACAAAGATCCACCTGACTCTGCCTCCAAAGTGTTGGGATTAAAGGTGTGCACTACCACTGCCAGGCGAGACCTCTGTTTTTTAAAGTGGTGACTTCTTACATAATTTTCGCTTTGCAAATCACTTCACCTCACTGAGACAAAATGACTATTAATGGCCTTTTCTTTTTCGTCATCTGGTCCCCAGCCTTGGGGATCCATTCCATATTCAGCGCAAGTCTTTACATCTTAGTTCATCCTCTCCGGACACAGCCTGGCAGACACACCCAGAGTTTTTACTTTACTAATCTCTGGGTTTATCAGTTCACTGACTTTGACAACCAAGACTAAAAGTCACAGCTAGAGATGAAGGAAGACAGAACACAGAAGTGACAGTGTCAAGTCACCAAGCACCCTGCATTTTCTAAAGCTACCGCTCAGTTAGGGACATATCTTAAGCAAACATGCCTGACTGTGAACTGCCGACTGCACCAGGTTACCTGCCAGCTCCTGCTGCTACCACATGGCGTGTAGTCCTAAAGGAACCACAGAGACACCCAGCCAATGGAAGGAAAAGAGAGACCTGAGACACAGCCAAAGCTCTGGGCATGCAATAAACATCTCAAGGGGAGGGAAAGACGAGTGATACACAGGGAACTCTAAGCATACACTTACACATATTTAAAAAAAAAAGAAAAGAGAAGAAAAGAAAATTTGAAAAATGAAAAGCAATCTGGAAAAACTAAATAAAGTAACTGATTGCAAATAAAAATACATTCATATAAAAACAGTATTTAAGGTTGTAAAGCAGGATAAACATAACTGGACATACATAACATACTAGACATAACATACTAGACATACATAACAGAAAGCAAAAGCTAAAGACACTGTATACAGGAAAGATAAAAATACCGATAAATATATGACTCCTCCAGGAGAAAGCAAATCACATATCTGCAGAACAATATTCAGCTTAGGAGAAACATTTTGCAACCAATTCCCACCCTGAGGTCAAACATGAGATTCACAGGAATTTTATGCTTACTCTAAGCCACAGAAATAGTAAAAAGTGAACTTTGTGGGCAGGAAGAATACAGGTCATGGAGTATTAATTTAGAGAAGCATGTTCACATAAAATACAAGAGTTACATTGTCTGTGACTTCTCTACCTAATCTATCAATATCTGAAAATATAGCCAGCTCTAAAAGGCCCCGAGGGAAAGCGTTTTAGACAGCCCGACATTTTCTTATGGTATATGAAAATGAAATGGCTCAGGGAATATAAACTCCAAGAGAATTCCTAGAAAACTACTTGATAATGACACACAAAATAGAGACGATTCCTGAACTAGTCTTAAAAGATGAAAAGAGACTCATGGTGAACAATGCATTTGTGTTTCTGTGCCTTCTGCCTGGACAAATGGTGTCAAGAAGGTCGGGTCTTTGCCGGGCACTGAGCCTTGTGCTCTGCTTAGACACACAGGCGACATTGTGGAAGTCAGCGCCAGCAGGCCCAAAGCTTCGTAGCACACGGGGCCAGAAGAGGAAATGTAGGTCATGACAGTTCAACAGGACAAGTTCCATGAGGGCGGGGCAGAGGCTGCTCAGGAAATTCTTCCCTTACCCCGGAGAGAGGGAGGAGTTGGAGATGCTTTTATGGAGGCCGGTTTCTCTAGGACGTAAGTACACTAAATATTTCTGTTAGCCAAAACACACTTTCTCAGTGTTTACTGTTATCTAATCTGTTCTGTTCCCAGAGGTATCTTATTAACGTAATCCTCTCCACGGTTTAATCCATTTGGAAGTCAAGTTCTAAGATGTTTTGGCATTAATGTGGACACCACTGAGATCCACCTTGTGTCCATGTATCACACAGTTAATGCTGGGTTTTCATGCACACGATAATTCAACATATTTCTCAGTGTGTACTTTCTCAGTAAGCTCTGCCTTCAAAATCATTCCATAATTGAAATTGGGGACCCTCAATCCATTCAAATTAGCTATTCTGTCTTTGAAATTTATCAAACTACACAGTCATCAAAATAAGACAAAATTGTAAAAAGGAAAAGAAAACAGAAACAGACAAAATTCTGTGTTCATGTTTTCATTCAACTTGTGAAACGTTAACTAGGCACACGCAAGCCTCAAACGGTTAAGTGTGTGTGCTGCCAATGAAAGTATTAGTGTGTACTTGGTAGCATGTGCTTCCGCCAAAGAGGAAAATGTCCGGTCAAAATGCTACTTACCCAATCGATTTTATCCACATTCCAGTATTTTTTTAAATCCCGGAACTGTATTAACATTCCCTTGAGTCCCACGACAATAATGCTTGCAAGAACGCACTGCCAAGAAAAGACAAGTTGGGGAGGAAGCAGGACAAAGACTTCAATGTTGGTTTTTTTTTTTTAAGTAAATTGTAGAGAAAAGCTGTCACCAATTAGGTTAACATAATGTTTCTATAAAATTAACTTATTTTGTGCTTTAGGGATACAACATCAATTTTAGAACATCGTTGGCTAAAACTGATCAAGTGGAAAAGAACAGATAGGAAAAAAAGTGAATTAGGAGGGTGAACTTCACAAGGCTGGAGGTTCCTTTTATTTGTTCTGTGTTTGAAATATGTTTGTCACAGAAATTATACATTTGTCTCATGTATTTCTTCACAGGTTCCCGACAGTAGTCATTGTTTCTCCTAGAGATACTTATACCCGTGAAAAATGATGTTGAGTACTAGGCAGTTATCATATGGAAACAGTGGCTCTTCCAGCACCAGAGGCTAAGGCTGGCCTGGTAGCCGGGATCGCCGGGGAGCCCGGGGCTTCTGAAGAGGTAGATGAAGCGCCAGTGCGAGGCCCTCAGAACAAAGGATGTGTCTACACTAGGAAGATGCATTTTGTCCTCCACACCACTTCTCCAGCCCATATTTTCTGGAGAATTCTTTGAAAGCCTCTCTTTTTCCACTGTTGGGGATCAAAGCAAGAAATTTGCGCATGCTCAGTTAGTGCTCTGCCGTGGTGCGACACCCCGAGTCCCAGCAGTCTGCTTTTCATGAGATTATTGCTAGTTCCCACTGAGGAGTCGGAGGGCTGTCGCCTTTTCCTTCCTGTTCTTCCTCAGGAAATGTGGGTATTCTTTCCATCCTTCCGACCTTCACTTAGGTAAAACGGCTTTCGGATTTAGGATTATTGTATGTATTCTCCCAGGATATTTAATGCACAATAATTCTAATTAAAAGTCCAGAACTATATCATAAAAAAGCAATACTGTACCATGGGCAGCCAGTACAGCAGAGGTCCAACTACATAGATGACAATAAGAACGAAAACGCAAGATATTAGACAAGCCACCTGTAAAACACAAGACAGACAACGAAGAAGGCCGTGAGCTGTATTGCTATTTCAAAGCTATGGGAATAGGGCAAGAAACAAATGTTCGCGTGTTGTTAGATTGCACGGACTGCTGTTATCTGTGTTCTGCCATGAAGAGACAGCAAATTAACAGTAGACAAACTGGTACAACCAAATAAAGTCAGTGGTGAGACAGCTATACTCACACACACACACACACACACATATAGGACACCATTGATCTGTACAGCACATCATAGTGATGGGTTATTGCAAGAGGGAGACCTCCGAGGAAAGTCCTGTTGCCTGACTCTCCACTCATTATTTTCTAGAAGGTCACGTGGGTAACAACTGAAGAATTCCAGCCTGGGGTTTTCTTCTGTTTATGACAGATTTGCAGGAGCAGTCTCTCTGCCAGAACAACAGATTTCACTTTACTAATCCCAAGAAGTCTTTAGTATCATGCTCTATCCCACCAAGCCTGTGGACAAAGGTCAATAGGAACCACCTGCCTCCCATGAGAGAGAACCTAATTTCCCAGAAGCAGGAGTTCCTGACTCCATAAGAAGCATTTGACTGAATTTCCATCCTAAGAGGCCTTTCACCGGTCCTCAAGACATCAGAGGGAATCTTTTGTGTTGGGAGGGATGGTTTAAATTTAAATTACAGGAATAATTTCAGAATCTGGCAAGGACAAGAGAAATTCTCTGACAATGCTGTTGGGGCAGCTGTAGAGACTCGGAAACCAGTCTGTTTCACATGAAGTTACACACACACACACACACACACACACACACACACACACACACACGCCGTAGACCTAGAAAGAACGAACAGGTTATGGGGCATCCTCCAAACAGCAGTGTGAAGCAGATGTGTGGAACTCAAAGCCACTGTGGTAAAAGACACTAGACACAAAAGAAACAATTTTGGACCAAAGACAGTCTTTAGAGGAGAAAAGTATGAGATGCCAGGGGAAGAGGCAGGCACTAAACATTAAATATCATTAGACATGGGGAAACACCCATTGTGAATGGTAGAAATATTTTACATATCGATTTTGTGATTATACAAAATATAATGTCTTGATCGGTGAGCTTTACACATAAAACGTGGTAGTGTTTACGAGAGTTAGTAAGCCCTATACGACTGATCCTAAAGAGAGACATTGAAAGTCACTGAAACAACTGCTGGCTTGCACGTGAACATACCTGGGGCCGGCCAGCCTGAACGCTTGTCTTGGACTTGGGTCTTTGAAGGACCTGCTGTAGGAGGAGAGGACCCACAATAGAAGCAGGTAGATGAGAGCTTGCCAGACATTCTCATAGATTACAAGCAGACATGTGTTTAATAGGATAGGAAAATGCACTAGCTGCCGAGCTTTACTCAGGTAAAAGTTAATGACATTTGACCTATCCGTGGGATGCTTCCAATCCCACACTTTCGATGTGAAGCACAGGGAGACTGGTGCCTCATCCAAGGTCAGGGAGCAAGGGAGGCGAAAGGTAAGAAGGCCACTGGATCCAGATCCTGACAATTTCGGGGTTTGGTTTTGTTTTGTTTTGTTATTGCTGGTTGGGCAGTTTCTTTCCCTTTCTCTGGGTTGTCTTTTCATTCAGTTCATTGTGCCTATATTAATCACTCAAAAATAGGTGGTGACTTAGAGAATATTAACCCCATAATTTTTAAACTTTAATTTATTTATGTTACGTGTGTAGGTTTTTCGTCTGGATATATGTTTGTGCGTTGTGTACCTGGTGCCCGTGGAGGCCAGAAGAGGGTGTCAGATCCCATAGAGCTGGACTTACGGAGAGCTGCCATCGGGTAGGTGATAGGACTTGAACCCTGGTCCCCTGGAGGAGCCGCCAGTGTCCTAAGTGGCTGAGCCATCTCTCCAGCCCAGCGCCTCATTTTGAAGTGAAAGCTGAACACAGCACAAGCCGGCACATGTGGGAAATTCTTCTAGCTTGTCAGCACTGCTAGTGGTGGGAAGGTTGGCGGGGAGGTCCCTCTCTTTCCCTGTCTGTCTCCCACGCAGTCCTCTCTCTATAGGAGATTAAAGAAGCATCTTCTTTCTAATAGCTTTTAAATACTGACGATAACCTTAATGAGAATAAGACCAATGCACAGACATTGGATTTCCAAAGATTTGCTTACTTTTTGAGTTCTGTTTCACTTACTAACAGTGCGCCCTTTTTGTTTTTCCCCTTGAACTGGCGTAGGCCACCATCACTCTTCTAGTTTCAGGTATTGTCTCAGATTTAAAGTGGAGTGCTTGCTACCCAGCTCGGGCAATGAAGATGTCGTGAACACGTGATCAGTTCAGTCTGGCATTGTTCAAAGTGAGGTCGTGCCACAAGGTTTTCGGGGCTATTTTTTAAAGTCCCTGCCATCCACTAAGGATGCTATATGAACTACATAGCAACTAAATAATAGTAAGCAAAAGGCACCTCCTTGAGGGTCTTCACTAACAGTGTTCCTTTGTCTTTTTGTCATGTGAGAACAGAAACAGAGCATAAGTAAGTCCTCCATACATTTTAGAAAGATTTAGCTTATAGCCAGGTGGCCCACACCTTTAATCCCAGCACTCAGGAGGCAGAGGCAGGCGGATCTCTGTGAGTTCGAGGCCAGCCTGGTCTACAGAGCAAGTTCCAGGACAGGCTCCATAGCTACTGAGAAACTCTGTCTCAAAACAAAATAAAACAAAAACAAAAAGAAAAGAAAAATTTAGATTATAAATGCTGAGGGCAAGTGTCCACATCCTCACCATCCACAAGCCAGTTATCATCCGTACATTTTACCCCTCTGGACCTTCCATGTCATGCTGACTAAATGCCTCACAATAATTTTTGCTTTAAAATTTTCAGCAGTCATATCTAAGAGTTAAGTCTGCAGGAACGTTAGTGAAATCTTCACATTTTCTTACAAGGTTACATAAATGTATGTGTATGTATGTAAACACTACACATAAATTCTGTTTCAGGGGGACAGAGGCAATGGCACGCAGCCTTCATCTGTGCTGTCAGTCTCAGTGGCGCCATTATCTATCGCTCGTTACTGACAAAGAGGACCCCTAAGAGCACCAGTGTCCTCCATATGTATATACACGATACTTTGCTTTTTAAGCAGAGGTCAAATGATGCACAGGTTTATGGGAAGTGGTGGAATTGTAGAAAAGATAGGAAAGGGCAGGAAGAAAGGAGAGGCAGGGCACTGGGCAACACAGCTAAACTAAGAAGGCCTTGAAGAAGGTGCAAGCATAGCCAACTTCTGGAAGAACAAAAGGAGCACGGCTTTGCAAGTTAGAGCCCAGGGGCGATCGTAGCGTTGCAGAAGAGCATGCCAGCTGCTGTTTTCAGTTGCGGCTGCACGGCCTCTGCAGCAGATGCTGTTTGGCTTCCCTCGTGGTTCTGTGATCCCCGTGAAGCCCCTGAGAAGCACGGATGCATCTCCGCTGTCGGAAGTGAAGAGAAGCGTGCAGGAGAGGGAGTCAGGGGACACCGAGCTCCTGCCCAGAGTTAAGGCTTCAGTTCAGAAAGGAGGGAAGTCAGAAACAGTATCCGTGTGTGCTGTTTGTCTAACTCTCCCAAAGGCTGTTCTTAGATTCACAGGCTTTGGGCATCCTGTCTAAGGGAGAGCGCAGCTAAGAGCATTTCCACATAAGGGGGTTGAATCTGTGTCTGTGTCTTTGATCACAGCACTCGCTACTAAATGATCAGTATCTTTTGTTATTCCTTTTGAAACAATTTAATTAGTTTTCCTGAGACACCAGAGTCTTTACCCTTCAATGGATTCCCTGCCAATCACCACCATGTTAGCTCCAAAGTGCTTGAAGGATGCCTAGTCCATATCGAGGTTAGCTCGCACATGCAAAATATATACCAGATCCCCAAGCTTTATTGGAGAAAAAAATGCAAAAAGTATTGTGTGTAGTTCTGTAATATATCTTGAAACTATAATAACTCTATCCTATCGGGTAAGTTAAAATATATTAAAATCAATTTTGATAGGTTTTCTCTTTTTAGATGTAGACACTAAATAAATTACTTGGGTAGCTCATATTATATTTCTGCTGAGCAGAACTTCTCTCAAGTATGTGATTAAATATTTGATTTTAAATAGAAATTTTCCAGCAACGATGCTAATATATATATTTAAATTTTATTAACGACAACACAAACTGCCTTTGGTCTGTCTGATCAAACACTCACAGTTGACAATGGGATTCTCAAGGGTAAACTATTGCAAACTGGATCCCTAGGCTTGTGAGAGAGCTTAGTTGGTAAAGTGCTTGGCATGGAAACACCAGAACTGAGGTTTTGAGCCCCGGAACCCACATAAAAAAAAGCTGGACATGGTAACACATACTTATTATAATTCCGGTGGTAAGGGGAAGAGGCAGGTGGATCCCAGGGGCTCACTAGCCAACCAGCCTAGCCTGCTTTGCAATATGGAGGCCAAAGAGAGGCCCCGTCTCCAAAAAAGAAGGTGAAGGTGCCCACGGAATAATACCCAAGGTTGAGTTCTGGTCTCTTAACACACATGTGCATGTATACCTGCAAACACACATGCATTTACATACACATGAACAGGGACAACCTGCAAACACACAGAAAGGCACGCAGGCAGGCAAAGCTGAGCGGCTGAGATTTGTCTAAGAAAGCACTAGGTGGGAAGGAAAAATCAGCTCCTAACTGAGCAAAGCCTTCTGTGGAATGGACGGAAGGAAGAAAGAGATGGTGTTTTCTTTCCGTCAGGAAGGTCACTGTGTTGCCATTGTCTGTAGAGCTGGGGAGCTGGGGACCGAATCCTGTGTGTGGCAGACAAGTGCGCTATTATTAACTACTCCCCCAGCCTTCAGTAGGTAACTACACAAAAATATCTCCGTGAAGTGTTCCTATGAGAACACGGAAACTGTTGCAGGTGTTACAGTAATTAATAAGGGTAACGTGATTATCACCTGCGCTTGGAGGAGTCGTAATTAGATAAAAAGGTGAAGGACTTTTTGTGCTCCAGGTTAATTTAGTGGGTATGTGACCCAGTGCTGAGGGGAGGCAGGCAGGCTGTGGAAGGTCCTGCGCTGGGAAATCCTGAAGTTGGGGGAAAGGCTTGCACGGGTAGCCTGTGTAGTGTCAGATTCTGAAGATGGGGCTAGAGCTCTCCTCGAACCACACCAGTTATCAACTGTACCTACAGACACTGGGGTTACAGCACGGAAGGTCTGAAACGGACACCACAGCACCCTCAATATGAGCATGCGCATTCATTCAGAATCACTCCCCTTGCGCTGGATAGGCGTGGTTAGGAAACAGTTTTCACCTCAGCGAGCAGGGTACCCTGAAAATATCCTGCTGGGGGACTTTCGTGTTTTGAAAAAGAAACCTCATTTCTTTTGAGGTTTGATGCATAGTTTGCAGGAAAAAAAAAAAATAAGAAGTCTTTAGAAATCATTCAAACATGTGGCCCCCGGAAGGAATCTTCTGACTCCATCCTAGATGATGTCATTGATCTGCTCAGATTTTATGCTCGGGACAAATTTTCTAAAGGGTTCTTTCTTTTAAACATTCCATGTTGAAAGTTACAAAGACTGAACAGAGTTTTCTGGTCCTAAAACGGTGATAAGAAGTGTGTGCCAAGCACCCAAGGCCAGAGACGGCACACACGGTGGGGGAGCCACCCCAGGGCTATATTTCAGTCTCTTTGTCCCTAAGACAGACACAGAGACATGACCAGCTTTCTCAAGCATCCTCAGCCAGTGTGAGGGCCAAGAAGGATGAGTGAACCATCCCCGGAGAAAGTGATCCCAGCCGCATCTTTACTTAAAACAATAGGCACGTAATAAAATCAACTGTAATCATTGACATTTCAAGAGTGACTTTTTATGTGCTTAGGTGTTTCACTAGATAGGCGTGTATTGATGCGTTTAATCTTTATAAAGTTGTAATTCTCTTTTATTGGCTGAGTCCTTTAAGCTAGAGGAGCTGAGTTACTGGGGCACAGCCGCCTGCCTACCTGAGATGGCGCCAGAGAGCAAACCTAGATTCTAGAACTTTGGCACATTTGTTCACTGCTGTACGTGGAGTGTTAGTGTCAAGAACTGATTTCACATAGGCTTAGTTTTATTTTATATTAAGGAAGTGAGCAAATTAGAAGAAAAAAAAAGTCAGACTGTTTAGGTTCACCGAGGCACCACTAGAGGGAGCTCTGGCTTCAAAATTGCCGCTAATGAAGTTACCAGGAGTGTAGAATTTAGCGGTTTACTCCTTGAATCATCAAACCTGTGGAAAGTCCTTAATAGGAAAGATAACGCGGGGGGAGGAATGGGGAGGGGAGAAGGGAAAGAAGGAGCAGGCGGCAGGCGAGGGAGCGGGGTGGGGTTTCTTAAAAGCTGCTTCGAAAATACAAATTAGCAACATTTTCAAGGCTCGGTACGTCTCTCTTCTCCTGAGGCCGGGAGGGTGTGACGGCCATGCACACAGCCACGCTTTCCCTGCAGGGGAGTTGTTACCTGTGTCTTTGCTCCTGTACTGTACAGTCCAGCCGTCCTTCCCATGGCTGCAGCACTTGGGATACAGAAGAAAAATGAAGGGATCACATTGCTGAGGCCGTGGGCCAGAAATTCCTGCAAGATTAGTTATGGGAGAAGAGAACATTTATCAAAGTCCCCTTCTACAGTCCCAGGTCCAGTTTGTCAGAGAGTGAAGCTTGTTTATGTTCGTTACTAGTCTCCTCATCAATTGAGATATCACCGTTTCTAATAAAAATCGCTAACATCCGTTGACGGTTAGTTTCCTCCAGAGCTAGTCTAAGTGCGTCCCTCTTTCTATTCTTACAACGAACACGTGAGGAAATTGTATTTATTCGTAATTTCTATATTCTAAGTAATCCCAGTTGGGCTTCTATTCCCGCTCTTTCCTCAACGACTTCTGCCCGACAACTCCAACGGCTACTTCTTACCTTACTTTGTATAAAGGAGCATTTGCCACAGTTGCTTAGTCCGTCCTTCTAACAGGTCCCTTCAATCAGCTCCTAGGCCCTCACACTCCAAGTCTGTCTCTAGCTCTCTGGCTGTCACTTTTCGGTTCCCTTTGTCATGTAACCAATTGCAAACGAGGGACTATTTCTCTTGTGCATCTACATCTTACTACACAAATACAAACTGGCAACTCCCCCCTTACATCTTCAGCTTGGAGTCCTCTCCTGAACTTCAGACTCCTATATCCAACCTGTTATTTGGCGTCCACATCTGATGGCTAATGGGAGCAGTAACTGGTCCACAGGGCTCTCCCATGCCAACTATATCCTCCCAGGTCTAGTCCCAAGCTGTACCGTTATCCATGACTCATCCCAGAAACTCCATAGGCAGTTCAGTGCACATCCACATATGCCCCCCCCACCGCATGCGGCCTGCTCCAGCCATCATGTATGTACTGGATAAATGGAAACCCCTCCTAACACCTTGCCTGCCCCTATTGGTATCAGTGACTGTAAACAGTCTCTGGCCTCGGAGAGATGTGGTTCTGACCAGCAAATATAGATAGCAAATAGCAAGCAGGGAAGGGTGCAGAGAGGCCTGGTCCACAGAAGTCCTGTGATGTGAGGATCTGAATGAGGAAGTTGTACAGTCATGTGAGGGGCAGGAGTCACAGGAAATAGAGCCGTGAGTGCAAATTCCCCCAGCCAGAATCCTGGAGTTCTAAGGAGAAACACAAAGTGTGGCTCAGACATATTATAAGAGACCAGATAAGAAATGGGACCCTGTACCCGAACAGCCTCGTCACCATGGTAGTGAGGTCTGTGAGCTGACCATGAGAGCTGGGAGGCCCTGCGGATGAAAGCGTTCATCTGTGTACGTCACTATGTTATCCTTGGACCTATCATAGGACCTAATATACACATATCCAGAGAGTCATATGGTCTCATATGAAGTCATATGATCTTCATGTGAGTTCTGCGTACAGGTGACAATGTGCTTGTAGGCAGAACACTGCAGCTTCTGTTTAGGCCCACAGAGCGATGTGGGGCCTTGGGGCATGAAAAGGACACTGGGAAAAAGAGAGTCAGTAAACAAGAATGTATACACAGAGTGATGTGGGGCCTTGGGGCATGAAAAGGACACTGGGAAAAAGAGAGTCAGTAAACAAGAATGTATACGCTCTCAGGTATGCCAGAACAGCGCTTCCCACCCTCTAAGGTCTTCTCCTTTCAGATCCCTAAGCATCCAAAGCATCTACCATGAAATGATAAATGGGCTTGGATTCTCTCCTAAAAACCAAATAAAAAAACATGAAGGTGCATGCCTCTAACAGTGTATTTTAAGGGTCAGTAAGATGACTCGGCAGGTGAAGGCACTGGCTACAAAACCCGATGATCTCAGTTCGATCCCAGGACCCACACAGTGGAGCCGAGAACTGAACCCTGAAGGTTGTCCTCTGACACACATGCAGATAAACGGAGGGGGTGAGCAAATCGATGATGTGTGAACTGTGAAACCTGGGCTCCCCGCTTCCTGGGAGTGACTCGGAGACTTTGCTGTTTTGTTCTGCCTGTTCTTGCTACACATTTAGAAATGTTGTGTTTTCAAACATTTGACATTTTCAGTGTCTAAGAGTCTAGAGAAGAGTAACTAACACACTGGCTCGGGAGGGATGGGGGCACACTCCACCTGGTTGTCATCCACTGAATATTTGAACTTCTTGGCAGATCCTTGAGCAAGAGCCAGTGAGGCCACGTAGCCTACAAGCGCAACTCCGAAAGCTTCGGTGAGCACAGCATTGAGGATGTTCATCGGTGGCGCTCGGGGCGGAGGAATCCTAGCGAGGGAAAGATTGAATTGAAGCTGTGGGTCTTCTTGTTATTTCTGTACAACTTGCCATGACTTCCACGGCAGTAATGTTTCTGAAGTTTACAAGGAATACATGAAAGTCCCAAGGGAAAAACTAAGCATTCTTTTCCAGAGAAGCCCTGTGTTTTCACCAATATTTAGCAGAAAAGCAAAATTGTAGGAAACACCACAGGGAGAGCCCTGTGCTTTTAACTGGCATTCCTACCCAGGGAATTCAGGTCATACCGCAGAAATTCTGACTTGACAAAAGTTTCTTGTAGAAAACAAAAGCTATCTGGGTCTTCTTTTCATTGGAACTTTTCCAAATATTTATTTGGCTGGCACTGGAGCTGTGTTTGCTCCTGTGAATGGTGCAGAATTTCAGGCAATCACTAGTTTACTATCGGCAAATCTCCAAATATGCCGTTGACTTCGTTACATTAATTACATTTTTAACTCCATCTTTTCAAGAGGCAGTTAATCACGGCTTACACGAACTGAAGAAAACATGTGGGAAGATCTCATCTACTCTCTATTGCAAAATAGACCACACTTAGCTTCATTTCAAAGAAGTCTTTAAAACATTTCTCAGATAATACCCAGCCATTACGTCTTTTAGTCCCTTGAAAACCATGGAAGCCAAATGACCATTTATGTATCCCTTGTCATTTTGGGAGACTTCCCCTAAAGAATCCCTGTGGTAAAAGTAGAAGGGAGAAGTGTGATCTCATATTGGCTGGTGTCTTGCTATCTACTGTGTGAGTAGAGCGTGGCTTCTTTCTCGTTAACTGTTTCACTTCATTTTTCCAACAACCCCAAATCAAGTACACTGCACCCATGCAGGGATGAGGAAATGTTTGGAAGAAGGTTACGAGAACAGCTGAGCTGAGGTTTGCTCTCAGCTCTTGATTTTCAAAGCCAAACTTTTTCAATTGCTTAAGAGGGTTTCTGGAAAGAGAATTCAAGTCAGGGTGAACAAGAATAGATGGAGGACAGCCATGAAGGTTTGTCACCCATTCAAACTACCCCTTACTGCCAAAACATTGTTATGACTACACAGCATAAGATACGTATTATACAAGACGTAAAATGAAGAAATGGAACTTATATTTCACTCCAGTTAAATGTGACTGATAACAACGGGACTGAAGAAGAATCAGTGAGTTGGCTTTCAAAGGAAAAGCAGAGGAGCCTTTAGGAAACTAAAGTTGTTTGAAGAAACCCTCCTTTGCCTGCATCTACACAGGCCACCAAACACAGGATTTCTTCAAAATCATCCTTTTTTTTCCAGTTTCTGACACCTTTTTCTACTATTTCTTTGTTTTAAGGAGAATAAAAGTAAAATATAGAAGACCCAAAAATTTTATCCTTGTCTCAAAATTTTTATGTGTCTGTTTTATACAGCCTATAAGAAGAAGACTAATTCCTAAGGTTTTAATTTTTCTCCACTGTTTCTTGTCGGCCTTTCTTTGGAAGGTCCTTCATCCTATTACTATGTTACACATGGGAAACATTCTCTTGAAATGTGGAGGAAAACTAGAGAGCCAGGCCAGCTCGACTTTGCCCTCCTCTACAACTCTCTGCTCAGACCTGTGGGCTTCCATTTCCACGGGACGCTTGTTTACATTTATCATAACTTAAGAGAAATAAAAATGACCACAAGAACTTATGTGGCTGAAGAATTAAACTGACCCAAGTCCAGGAGTTTGCAAATTTGGCAACTTCCATTATTTTATTGCCAAATCTTTGCAAATACTTTTGGAGTCTTTTACTTGAAGCAATGCTGCACAAAATAACTACAGTAGCTCATTGAATAACAGGTTAGCTTATTACCTAGAAAATTACTATTTTTCCACATGTTGGGTTTGTCAGTTATAATAAAAAAATTAATTAGAATTTTGCCTCATACAGCCACTAAAAGAAATGAAATCCATACGTATCCAGGACCAGGTCCTTTGAACATCAAAAACAAACACTCAGATAAACACATATTAAAAGAAAGGCTACATTACCCCTTTGGAATGTGTCCAACAACTTCTAATCCATATGTGTTTTCCATGTTGGTACAATAGCAAGCGAATGAGGCAGCAATGATCTGTGTAGTTACATTCGGAAACAAAAGAAAGAAAGACATATAAGTGTGTGTGTGTGTGTGTGTGTGTGTGTGTGTGTGTGTTACTAGAGGGCTTCAAATACCTAAAATCATTCCAAAATATATATGTCCCAGAATTACTATTTATTAATGAACTACTAAGAGTTAAGCCAGCAGTGGTGTTGCAAGTCAGTAATCCTAGCAGACAGGATGCCAAGATAGGGGGATTTCAAATTTGAGAGCAGCATGGATTATACAATAAGGTCTTGAATTTAAAAAATGAAAAATAAAATAAACAGGGGAGAGGAATAACAAGAAAATGGTTAACAGGCACACGGTGAACTTGGCTAGGAAGCATTAACTTCTGATATCTTGGAACACAGTTCAATAAATATCTTCCATTGGTAATGATTAACCATGTATTTTAAAATCCCTAGTAAAAGAATGCAAAATAACCAAGACAATGGATATGCCAATGGTTATGATCTGATAATTAAACTGTAAACACAGTGTCTCACTGAGCTAATTAGTATATACAGTTACCAATTAGGAGGCAAGTACAATTCTAAAACAAAGTTCTTAAACTCAGGTGCCCTTCTCAGTTTTCAGGGTACAGTATGTACAATCTCATGGGTTTTATTCAACATTGTGCTTAGTACCCACCCAATTATGTCCAATTTTGAAGACACAAAAGACACAAAATGTAGTGGTGTGTGTGTGTGTGTGTGTGTGTGTGTGTGTGCGCGCGCACACACGTGTGAAGCACTGCATTCAACCTACTTTTCTCTCATGACATGAAGAGGTCTTTATGAGAACATTCTCCCTCTGTTAGTAACAAATATTGATCTATAGCCTGCTTAATTTTTTTTTTTTAATTTGAGGTTTTATCTCTTTCGTGAAGTAAAACATGCCAGATACTAGTCTGGTGGGACAACTGACTTTCAGAAGCCCTCAAGGAGGCTCAGATATCTTACTTTGATGTTATTGAAATATTCAAGCAAGGTCACTTGTTGGCTCTATAATCATAGTCAGTGTGTCTATATGAGTGTGTGTGTGTATGTTACATGTGTGCATACATATTTGCCTGTGTGGCGGCACACGTTTGCATGTGTGCAAACGCACATGGATTCATGTACATGTAGAGGACCAAAGTTGATGTTTTTTGCAGTTCCTCCTTATTCCCTGAGAAGGGTCTCTCAGTCAAGCCCAGAGCACCTCTGTATGTCTAGTCTGGGTTGTCAATTTTTCCTGAGGATCCCCTATTAACACCTTCCAGGGCTGAAAACACAGGTAGTCTGCCTTGCTTGAGGGGTATTTATAGGAGTCCTGGATATCGGAACTCTAGTCCTCACACTTATACACTTAACCAGTGAGCTGTCCCCTCTGCCCCAAGTCTTCTTTAAGCAGATACCAGAGCAAGGTCAGTGTCTGCCGTATTGGTCACGCCCTTGAGAATCCCCTGCACATTTTCACACTCTCATCTTCTAGTGCTTTAGTAGCTATGGGGTTTCGAGGTTGTCTGACTTGAGGTCCCTCTTGACAGTGTGTGAATTTCTGCTCCCTGAGAACATAGGCTAAACCTTTTAGGTAGAGATTTGAGGTTGATTTGAAGAGATGCTGCTGAACAAAGTTAATGTCAGTTATTCTGACATATTACAATATACTTTCATGACCCACTGTGTTTGGCTGTGTTCAGATTATATTTGAGATCCTAAATACAAAAGGCAAAGAACACTATCAAATTGGGCTACTTTAAGAATAACCATTGGGGAAAAGTAAAAACTAGTTTTATCACCTAAAATGAGACTTAAGAAATCTTCTGTGGACAAATACAAATGAACCAATGCAAACAGTTTGTAAAGATTCATATTCTTAATATGAATGCATAACTCATATATTTAAAGTTCAAATTCCCCACAATCGTGACCAGAAAAAAAAGGCTAACAAAATTACATGATCAAAGAAGGAACATCTAGCAATCAATGCTCAATAATATATAGCGACTTCTGTGGTTAAGTTCCTAACTATGTCTTTGCTTGATGCTTAACTGAACTTACAAGTTTCTAAAACAGCAAATGAACTTAAAAAGCAAAACGCTATTTTGAATTTAACAAGGAAAAGGCAAGAATAAACTGTACAAATATCAATGTGATATAATAGTAATTTTTAAGTCCCTGAGATGGCCACTGAGACAGCATCTGCTTCCTTGCTGTATTTCTCTGACACAATTCAGCTTCTTCATCAGTTCCTCTTAAGTACTTTGATGTGAGATTCCCCTCTGTATTCTGTGATTACCATTGATTAATAAAGAACTTCTTTGAGCATATAGCAGGGCAGAACAGAACTAGGTGGGGAAAGGTAGGCTGAATGCTGGGAGAAAGAAGGCAGAATCAGAGAGAAGCCATGGAGCCACCGTCAGAGACAGTCATGCCGAAACTTTACTGGTAAACCACAGCCACATGGCGATACACAGATTAATACAGATGGGTTAGTTTATGATATAAGAGTTAGCCAGAAATACGCTTAAGCTATTGGACAAACAGTATTGCAGATAATATGGTTTCTGTGTGGTTATTTCATGTCTGAGTAGCCAGAAACAAACAAGCAACCTCATACAACAGTATTTTGCCAAATATATATATAAAACCATATATATATATATATATATATATATATATATATATATATATATATATATATATATATGGTTACTGTTCTTCAACGTGGTCAAGAAGGGATTCTGCTCCAGATGTTAAAGATAGTTCTAATCTGGCCCTCCTCCAACTTTCATGTTCCCCATAAATTGGAAGCTTTATAAGAAAAAAGAAGAGGTACCCAACTCAAACTCTACCCTTGTTTCTCCTCTGTGCTAGAGAGATATTCAAATGTCTATCATTTCCTTCATATGTGGTACTTAGCCTGGTTGCAGTGGCTCTTCCTCACCACAGCAACCCAGGGAAGACCAAGCGGGGCAGTGGTGAAGGTAGAGTGGACATGTCCAAAATTTGACACCAGCTCAGGGATATCCACGAGTGTGTATAGGATACCTTATGAGTAGGATGGGGCTGGTGGGGGAGAGACAGAGCAAGCTAGCATGCATCTCCTCATGAGGCTACATTCTCCCAGACTCGCAGGAGCAGAATTCTCTATTGTAACCTGGTTTCCAAGGTCATCACTTAGATTCAGTAGTCAAAGTTAAAACAAAACAAAACAAAAACCAGAACCTGCTTTCTTTAACGTTTTGTTCTGTGACTTTTAAGTACTTGGGCTTGCACTGGCACCTTCACCAAGGGTCTTGAAAGTCCATGTCACCTCAAGAATATCTGCCATCTTAGAATGATCCTTACGAGTTTTCTAGAGAGTGCCACTTGCTTTGTGACTAGATTGGGGTCTGTTTCCCTACATTATTTTTAAATTTTGGCTTTATAAAACTTTTAATGCAGCTTTCTAAGATGAAATAGGCATCTTTTAACCTCTCCAGAACTTTGAGATAAGATGGCATGGATCTTGCCCTTAAAATTTCAATCAATGAAGTTATTTAGATGCTATTTGTAATATACATGAAAATCCAAGGACCATTTAAGTTCTTTAATGTAAACCATGATCATGATCACATCATTTTGATATTTCATTAAATTCTCCCAGGAGAGGCTCTTAGAACTTCAGTCTTCAGAAGCAAGACATGATATATTTTTCCAGTCACAAATGTATTTTAAAGTACCAGCCTGGGCCCACAAAAATCCTGAGCATCTTCTCAGACAAGTAAAATGAGTTCAGTAACAGGAAAATCAACAAGCTTTCCAGTCACTAATGAGTATTTTCTAGGTAACAGCTCCACGTGCATCATAGGGGTTTCAAGGCAACAGCATAGGTGTCATATTTTATAGTTCTGCATAAGATCATACCCAATATCATTTGAGACTCATTCTTAGACATGTCTCTTATGAGATCTCAAGCGATATGTACTCTTATTTTTATAAAAAATTAAAAGCATATGAGAAATGCTGTATGAATTGAAAACATATGTCCTTCCTTCTTAAAATTATTGACTCAAAATGTTTCTTACATTAATGTATATCCATGCAAATTAGTCTGCCATTAATGAGACACAGGAATGGCAGTGGGTTACTGTTGAAAATATAGCAAGCATCTGCAGACTTACACCCTCCCCCCACCAAAAACAACTAAGTGTTATTGATTGCATACTTACCAAAACTAAGTCGACAGGAAGAACAACTTTAATTTTTCTCTTAAACTGTTCATTCAGCTCTTTAACGAGAACAAGAACAACGATGCTCAGCAAGGATAAGAGCAGCGCCTCCAGCTGAACAGACTTGATGTTCTCGAAAACATAGGCATAAATCTACAGGAACAAGAAAGGAGCAAAATCAGGGTTGCCCGCAAAACACCGGAATGCAAATATGGCCCTAAATAAACTTCACAATGCTTTATTTAAAAAGTCCTAACGCCCAGAGGATGCAAAGGTAGGAAGGAGGAGAAGGGCTAGAAGGGAAAAAGCCATGTTTTCATGCATAAATTTCCTTGTCCTTGGTTCTTCCATCAGACTCAGGTCAGTCTCTTCCTACATACGAAACTATTAAAGCCAACAATGCCCCTGACTCCTTCCTTGACACATGAATGGGCAGAGGCACCTTTCGAATCCCACCACCCTTCTAAGTTTAACAGGAACACACACATACAACACACACACACACACACACACACACACACATGTCAAGAGCTGGTATTTAATCAACATCAGATGCTTGGCTCATTATAATCTATCATGTTCGCAGTTACTCAGCATTTGTTGACTTATCAGCACATATGTGTGGCAGTGCTTCGGTTGACAAGGATGAGCAATTTAGAAAGAGCCTGAGTATTCATCCACTCCACTATAGAGTATAGGGATCACTACTAATTTAATCAGTTAATACAGCATGATGGTAATAACACGGATTGGATACCTGAAGTATATTACTTAATGTGTGAAAAAGGATGATTGCCCTTCCAAAACCAGTAAACAGGAACTGAACAGGCTACAGATGGGAGGAGGTGGAGGAAGAAGTCTGTGGAAGTATTTTATATTACGGTCACATGTATAAGACTCAGAGCATAGGCTATAAGGAAAGCAAGGCATGATTTCTAGAAATGGATGCTCAAGAAACTAATACAGGACTGAGGAGATGGCTCTGCCGGCTCAGCATTCAACAGCCCAGACCCACGTCAAAAAGCCTGAGCACTGGCAGGTGCTTATCAGCTGCACACTGGGAAGGGGGACAGGAAGATCTCAGGGGCACGCTGGACGGCCAGCCTAGACATGTCTCTGAGCTCCAGATTTCTGCCTCAAAAAATAAGGCAGAGAGCAATTAAAGAAGACCCAGATACTGACCTCCAGAAGCCTGTGCAATCACCTACACACGTTCACACACATGCTACCATCAAACTATTTGTGACCATGAAGAAGGTATGATAATAGCACATTAATATTAGATGATCAATGTTGCTAATCTCAGATGGCAAATAAATAAATTGAGAGTAAAGTCAAGGAAACAAATCACATTAAAGCCTGCATAAAGTTGAGGCCTTGTATTTGTTCAGCTAAGTGACAAAAACATTTAACTCAATAATTTAGAGTCTTGTGAGTACCTGCCTACCTGCCAGGTCAACTTGCATAGACAGAGGACATGTTTTGAGGAATCCTAAATTATGTGTGAAGGAGAGAAAAAAATAACTAACTTAAATCTAATTTTTGGTCTATATAAACATTTGATGTTAAGCAACCTAATTTGAAAATTGTTTTTAAATTTGACTTTGTGTGTATCCAGACTAGTGTTTATGTTCTACCTTCTTGGACATACCTCTGAATTGTACATATTGAGCATGGTCATTAACTTTCTAATCATTCTGACAAAGAAAATGTAGTGAAGCTTCACTTGGAGAAAACAACTCGGGTCATGTCAGGTTGTCCAAACTTTAACTCACAGATGGAGCCATAATAATACTAATGATAATCATAATAATAATGACAACAACCACAAACCATCCACTGTGAAATCAGATACATTTAGAAATGCATCATAAAACATGGAGCAGGTAGTTTTGCTTCCTACTGCTCAACCCTTCTCAACATGGCTTCAGGAGAAACAGATCATGCTTTTCCTGTCCTACACACTGGAAATGAAAATCGTTTGCAGAGCCCCTATGAGTGACAGAAACCCAGTCGGAGACTGTAGAGATGGCTCAGTGATTAATAGCATTGATTGCTCCTCCAGAGGTTTGATCCCCAGCACCTACCTAAACTCCAGTTTCAGGGGATCCAATGCCCTCTCCTGGCCACTACAGACACTGCAGGTGCATGGTGCACAGATAAACACTCATGCAAAACACCCGTGGACATAAAATCAAATAGAACTAAATTAATTTTTAAAATTTATTAAAAAATACAAAGTTTTCCTCAGTGTGATAAATCTCAATGAGGAAGGGCATAAACAGAGTGTCAACAAATTCTCTCAAAATACATGTCTCTGTCCAGTGGTTTAAGGGTAATTGAGAATAATACGGAGATTGTTCATCCAAGACCCAATCATTCAAATGTCTTAAAGCCCTGCATTATTCCTTATGCCTTTCCCCCACGAGATTTAAAGTATGCCATGACAATGAGGCTCCCAATCCATACCAGATTGTTATGTGATGCGCACTTGGAGAACATGTGTTTGCAGTCATACAAATGACCACCCCAGAATGAGAGGAATGAGAGCCCCCCTCAGGGATTTTATTGTCTGTCTGGATTAGACTACAGCTCGTCAAACAAAGCATGTCTCACAAGATGCTGCAGAAAAGCATGGGGGTGGGTGGACAAGGACTCATTAAAATAAGAACACAGGCATGAAGAACATAATAGGAGAACCGGCTGGGAGGAGTCCTAATGAGTGTCATGTGGACCCACTGAGAGAAGTCACAAGCTACATCAGCTTATGGGATGCGGGTGGCGCAGGCAGATCTGCAGAGCTGAGGTAAGGACAAACGCAAGCGTTTCTATATGATCACATAGTGCTCTGGGCATCCTAAACACACGCTAAACGTCTTTAAACTCTAATCCAGTTGTCTTGACACTCCAGTACACACTTACTATACTAGTTAAAAGTTCCTAAAGGGATCGCTATTGACCTCTCAGAGTTCAGAGGAGCAACAGCAATGCTGTAGAGACGCATAGCCAAGTTTGTAGAACTGCCTGATCAGCTTAATAACCAAGCTGAGGGCTTCTGGAGCTATAATGGTCGTTTGTTATAGGGCATATATGGAAATCCATATATACACAAACAAACCCGTTTTGAGATAGTTCAAAGAATGAAAATTACTTATTCATATACATTGTTACATTCAATTTAAACAGATGTGATGTTTTTATGAAACACTACATAGGTACTTTTACACATACAAACACACACGTTTTTAGCTGAGTTGGCCATTTTTATAAGTTTGTCTATTTTTTCAGTGCTGGATTCTCAACTCCTTGAAAAGTATCTGAAAGAAGGCAACACTGTCAAGTGAACTAACATTCTGTTCTGATGTGGCGAAAGCAAAAATTAGCCTCTGAATGGGATGTAGTGGAACATAAGACTCTGAAAGAGGAAAGGCCAGATTTATATAAATGCCTTCTTTTCTCACTGTGGAGACTTGGGCTAAGCCTCTGAGGTGGGTCTGTAGCTGCATCCACTTGTGCTTACCGAGGTTCTAGGGGGAAGCAATGATATAAACGCTACAGCTACCATCATAAAAATTCCAAGTAGCCTGTCTTTGGTGTGTCGATCTGATCTAAATGATCAGATGTTTAGTATCAAAATTTCTAAGAATGAATCAAAATCGTAGGCAGAAAAGGCTGACAGTATTGGTTAACTAAAAAGCCAAAGGCCTCCCTGAAGTCAGCCCCAGACAGTTGTTTTTCTCTGCGCAATAGTGACCGAGAATGTAAGACCCTGCAGAGAGACACACTCACGTAGGGAGAGAATACCAGGATGTCCACTTACAAAGCTCGTGACACAAAACAAAGATCTCACATGCTTAGAAAATATGAACAGGTGTTAAATACATAATGGACTGTTTCTTCAAGCCTCAGCTAGCTAGAAATATCTGTCACCCGAAGGCATCTCCTTTCCTAGCACCCTGGTTACTACAAAAAACTATCGAGGAGGAAAAGTTAGTTAAAATGTCTTAAAGTATGAGAACAACATTGATAATAACTCTTTGTTGGTAATTCAGAACTACCTACAAAGGGACCCCAAAGAACAATTAAATACATATTTCCATGCAAAATGAAGCACATAAGCCCTTCGGTATTATTTTTTATGCATGTGCCATCTCTGTACTCAGGATCTGTCATGAGGAAGGTTGCACTGCACTAGGAAAATGGGAGTATCAGTAAAACCAGAAAGTTTTGCTAAATGTCAGCATTCTATTTGAATAATAGGTACAAAGTAATAACTGTCAATATAGTAGTCTTAATTTTAAATATATAATTTAGAGTTAGTCATCAGCCACAAGGCCAGGACTGTTTCCAGAGGGGAAAAACGCTAACTTTTACATACGCTCATTCATGTGCAGACTTTTGTCAGAACACATCTGACCTGATCCGTGCACAAATACATGTCTGGAAATGTGGACGTTTCGTACATTTTGGGAAGAGCGTCTTCTGGAGAAGGACCCACTGAACTGTTGTGACCATGTGACTGCCACCGTCTCACAGTGGAGTTTGCTGAAGGGTCTGTCTAGTTGAACACTGCTGCAGCTGGTAAGAGTCTGCACATCTGCAGGCTACGTCTCCTAGGCAGAGTGCAGGAGTGAGGAAAAGAATCACAATTTCTGACTTTCATTTAGAGTGTTTTAAGAAAAGAACTCTTCTGTCTGCTCCGCCATCATGTCAAGCTTGTATCTGTGGATGGCTGTCTCTCAGCTCTGAGAAAGACAAAGAGCTGAGAAAGCCATGTTTTCAGAACAGAGGTGTATGACCACCTTATGAACACATTTCTCCCCAGTCACCCTATCAGACCACTTCTGTCAAGCAGTGATCCATTTTTTCCCCATAAAACTACATGAGATTCTTGTTCCTCTGTCTCTGTATCAAGCCACCTGATTTCATATCCCTCCTCCTGGGAAATAAGATGCTTAAGGATCTGTCAACAAAAAGTTAGTGAATATGTCTGTTCTAGCAGGTTGTTTTTTATTTTGGTGTTTCGAGACTGGGTTTCTCTGCATAGCTCTGGCTGTCCTGAAACGCACTCTATAGACAAGACTGGCCTCGAGCTCACAGAGATCCGTCTGCCTCTGCCTCGCGAGTGCTGAGTGCTGGGATTAAAGGTGTGT